CTTTATATTATTCTTTCGTAGTCATGTTAAACATTAGGGACACTGTACACTAGAATTACAACCATACCACTTTCCTACCTTTTAGTTTTCTAAACATAAGTTTAGAACACCTTTCATCTCCGTTGTATCCGTTAGTTACCAGTTCATAGTTATGATCATTGATATTAATGAATTTATTAATAGTCCATAGTGACTGTACTTAAATACAGATAAAATTTTTTTCATATTAAGATTTTATAATAATTATATTTAAAGTAAATTTATAGGAACCGTATAGAAAAATATCAATATTTTAGTACATATTTAATATCAGCTCATACCAGCTATTATAAAAAAAAAGATTAACCAAAATTTGAATGTTTCTGAATTATTTTTAAATTTTATAATATTGTAACGGGCTGTGACTTTTGACAATATATAATACAATATATTATAATAATACAAAAAAAAACATTATTACGTAAAAGACGTCAGAAATAACCTCAGGCGGATGCGTCGCGTGTATTTATACTAAAAATCCCATAGGAGGGATCTATTAGGAATTCTGACGAAATACGTCGATGGATAAGTGTCCATCAGACGAGGAGCCAGCCTCAACTCGAGCAGACACTAGAATACTACAGAGTCACACCTCGTTTACCATTGTCAAAATCAAATCATTTATGTATATAACTTACAATAATTTACTAAGTTGAATAAATATCAAAAATTATACTCTATCAACTTCGTGGTTTTTATTCAAGTACCTCTAAGCAACAACGACGGAAGTAGTTGGCACGTTACAATATTGATATAATTATGCAATTATAGTTTATTGAGTTGTATTTACTACGTTTAGGAACCGGGAATTGTGTGAGCTTTCCAATTAGGTTTTAATATTGTATAGCAACAATTGAGTCAAAATGATTATGTAATAAATAAGTAATAAATGCTATTACCCCGAAAATTGGTTCGGGCTCCAGTGCCCTCCAAACTCCAAGTTAGACATATACTTCGCAGTTTTATCGTCTTATAATCATCATTTTTTCGGCATACGTCTATCGATAAATACTACCTATAATAAATCTACCAGGTCGACCGACATAATAAATTATTATTACCGCAATCAGGTGCATTACCCGTTACCAATATTTGTTATGTAATTTGTAAAAATTTGTAATCACATTTTCCAAAATTTTTACACCTACCTGAACTTTGAAAAATCAGGTTTTCATTTCGGATGTTCGCATAACGTTACTCCTGCATCCTCATTTATAATTTTGATCGTAGACACTCAAATCCGGAAATAAAACTTGTTATAGAATATGTACAAATTTGTTGTTTTAAATTTGTTTTAAGCCCTGATTGAAATACATGAATATTGTAGTGTATTTCATGTATTGTCGTGAATATTTATAGCAATTATTCATTTGTAGGTACCTTTTTTACGGGACGAAACTCATGTGCTACTTAACTAATATGCTTTTCTAAACAATTCAATATGACGTAGGTATTGAAATGGTTAATGGTTACACATAGTACCTTGGTACTTAATTCCATACTTTCGATACATAACTATGTATAACATAAATTTTTGTTGGAAAATGAAAATAGTAGTTTAACATTTACAATAAAATATTAAGCATCAGCGTGACATTTTTAACATTTTTAGCTCATGTTTTATCATTAATGATTTAAGTCATATGTCACCAAAAACAGTATACCTAGTAAAGTAAGGTATTCAAATATAAATACCTACATTGTAATATTTGTAAATTTCACACATCATTTTAGTATCCATAAAAAAAATGGAAATGACGTAGCGGCCTGCAAGTTTCGAAGAAGTTAGCCGCAATTTAAACTTTTGTGAATAATTGAAAACGGCGTAATGATAATAATAAATGTATAATCATTTTAATCATCGTAATGAAACATCTTTTTTTATCATTCTAGTATACCAAATAATTCTGAAAAATATTAATAGATATGTTTTTTTCGATGTTCATTTTAGTAAAACCATAATACATTTTAATTTATAGTCACCTAAGCTAAAACTAATTTGGTAATATTTTAGTAATAAAGTAATAACTGCAAATTATTTCAATGGACAAATATAACTGTTATAACCACCCGATAAATACTCATTCATATTAATCACAATAAAAAATAATCTACAAATAAAATATAATAACTTTGTTTATAAATAAACCACATAACTGAGCGCTAGTAGATGTAGGTAAGTATAATATTTAAATATTATTATATTCCTCAATACCTGTGGGAAATAATAACAATAAAGGATTCGAAACTTATTGATCTTATAATGTACAAATAAACACAAATATGCACTTATATTTTTTTACACGAATAGTTTATAAAGCTCTAAAACGTAAAGGACTACGGAGTTTCATATTCTTATACTAGTTTAACTGTAAGAGTTTTTTTTTTTGCTTTACTTTCAAAAGTAGGTACATAAATTAAAAGTAAATGCATATATGTATACATTTTTGTTTTTAAATTAATTGTAAAATAGAATTTCTAAAATAACTTAAACAGTGAATACCTTTAAAAATTCTTCATGAAATTCTTCTAATTATTACAACTATTTCAAATGTTTCCATTCTATTACACATCAGCCAAGCAAATAAAAGGTAGACACATAAAAATTATATAAACCACTAAAACCTAATCAACTGCATTGTGTTATGAATAATTTTGTTCTCACTTTCAAAATGCAATATTTTATTAAATCATATTAAAGCATTTTTTTAACATTTTCAAAATTGAATGATCGCCAAACTTCTTATTTACAAAACCTAAGTTAAACCAATCTAGCCATCTGAATGCCTTCAACTCTGGGGTAATGCAAAATTATCCAACATCAACAAAGTTCGAACATTCCAAAATACTGCAATAAGGAATTTAACAGCTGTCCAACCCCACGTTTCTAACCATACAATAAATTCGTACATCAAGATAAAATCCGTAAGAAGTAAAACTATTTTACAAACGTTTCCACAGTTTTTTACATGACTGCTTACCAGATCCCGCTTGTATAAAATATCTAACAGTTTCTATGATTCCCAGTAATTCCCCCAAGACGTCTTAAATGCAAATATGTCTTGACCTGCTAGATAATAATATATTATCTTCCTACTTTACAACCAATATTTCCAAAAATTTAATACAAATTTGAATTCAAACTTTGTATTACAATTAAGTAGGTAGTGCTATCGATGGATGGATATTTCCGTTAGAAAATTCATGTAGGTACTCTTGTAAATTTGTTTGTTGTTCCTATACCAACCACGATTGTAAATACCATGTAGAAATAAAAAATGCCGACCACTGGTTATCAGTATGATTGTCCGTCTTTATATTTTGAAAAACTACGTTAAACATTATTTGAATCATTGAAATAAAGCTTATAATATTCAAATGGTGTTTTTTTTTGTATACCAACTAAATTTTTGAAATACTAGATAAATTAATATATTATATAAACACTGAAGTATCTCAAAATTAATACATATTGTCAGTAGTTGACCCGGAATTCGCACAAGGGGGGAGGGGCGAATTTTCAGAATTAAATTACCTTTTTGTTTAACCAAATATTATAATAAAAAATAATGTTAAGAAGACAGCCCAAGAGGGGATTCAAATGCCCCTTCGCCCCCTCATTTCCGTCACTGAATATTGTCATATTATCATATTAATATACATTAAATATCATTTTAATTTACGAATTTTTAAATTGTATTAACTTAAATCATGAAATATACTCTATAAAAATAAAAAATATGTCCTTATAATTAAAAAAGTCACAAAATAAACAAAAATATAATATGCACTATAGAGTGTAAACTTTTTAAATTTTTTTTTGTAGTGTCTTGTAAATAATTTCTAGCTTATTGATCATTTAACAAAAAATCTAATATAGGTTACGGTAACTAACAAGAAACATGCTAATGCAATAATAACAACTTCTGAGCCCTTAATTAATTTAATTTAATAACTAATAAGTATAGTGTTCATTGCTTTATCAAATTGCATTTACTATAATTACTTATTTATTTATTTATAATAGTTAGTTACGTAATCTAAAAAGTAGTAAAAACTAGATTAAACGTTGTTACATTTTTTTCTTAGATTTAAATTATTGACAAACTTAAATTCAAATTTGTATGAAAATGTAAATAAGTAAATAAAAAATGTTGAGGAAATAAATGTACTGTCATGTCTAGCTATTTTGTTATACAGTAGTGATTTGTTTTTAGAACAAGAGCGGCAAAATTATTTAATTCTCCCTTGAATATCGCATGCATGGTATTATATTATGGTGTTATACGTATCATGCGAGTATATGGCTTCGCGTACCTGTATGTTTTAACTTTTATAAACAACATTTTCACGTGTCTACAATCTACATAGTGCAAAAAATCCGAAGTGGGGATCGAACCCTTCACCATTATGTACACCATTGCTTTGTGGTCTATATTATAATATTATATCCACTGTTTTCATAAATTAACAACATTTTGTTTTGTAATATTTCAAATTGATTTCTTAATTCTTAATTCTTAAATATTACAACATCGAATACCTATCATGGTGGTTCTCATTTTTAATAAAAGTTTGGTTTGTCGTTATAGGACTCACCTAAAGGCAGGTATACACATCACTATTTAAGGAAAAAATAGGGGATGGGCATGGTTGATGAATCACCCTGTATATTCTACACGCACACACTCACGCATACACACACACACTCACAGACACACGCACGCACACACGAGTACATTGAAGGATGAGAGTGGGATGGTTTTGGCACGGGGAGCATATAGGTTCACGCAGCAGCGGATCTCTATGGCGCTTTTGTGTGTACTTAGGATGCGATTATCCTTTTTGCAGCCGGGCCCGTCGAAGAAGGGGCGTCATCCTGCCACCACCGCCAACACCGCCACTAACGCCACCGCCTCCCAACATCGTCTACCCGCCGCAGCAGTACTCCCGAGCAGAAAATGCGGTGGACAATTGCAGGTAATAAACTACATTTAAGTAATTACCTAACCCAGAGCCTAATTTACTACATATTATACCTATAATACGCATGTACAATATATTATTATTGTGTTATACCTATAATGATATTACGATAACGCGGATCTAGTTCAGCGACTTTAATAGCATTTAGATGTGTATGGCGTGTGCTGATCGTATATCACAATAGTATTATTAAATTACATAATCTCGTCAACGCTCTCGAAATGTTCCCTCTTTATTTCGCTCTATCGTATGTGTGTGCCGTAAATCGGATTAAGTTTATATAATATTATGTAGGTATTTACTAGGTACGTATAATGTTCGTAGGTATAAGTATATCATATTATAATATAGCACGGTTTAGGTATGTAGTATTATATATTTTAATATTATACAGACGTTCGTGTGTACACGTATGATATATAGTTAGGCATAGGTCTTTTATCGAATTTTTAGAACCCAACTGTAACAACAGAGCGAACATTTTGTGACGAAAGTACTTAACAAGATGTACATTTGATAAATCCACAGCTATTGGTACACACGCTATTTTAATTACGATTAATATTTAAAAGTGCATACGATGAAGAGTACTCAACCCCCTCCCCAAATTTTAATTTTAAACCCATTTTAAATTTTTAAAAGCAAATAATGTAATAGTATTTTTATAACAAATAATATGCGCTTTGTGCTGTTTATTTGACAGCGCTGAGTGTATACATAAGCGTATATTTATAATAATATAACTGGTTATAACTGTTGAATATCACTGGTATAATTGTAGGCTCGTGGAGTGCGTAAGACGTATGGTGTAATGGTGTATCGTCGAGGGCGGAGAGGAGGGAAAGGGGTTGGCAACCGTTTGTCCGTTTATAGATCACGCATCAAAATCGGCACACGTGATTCTGAGTGTTCGCGTCGTGACTTTGAAAATAATATTAACCCACAATTTTCAGCCAATTTCAAGACGATACAAAAAACAAAAAGAACTCGTTCGAAACACACAACCCCCCCCCCCCCCGGTCACTCCCCCTTAACACACCCTCTCCAGATACACAATCACCCCACCAACCGCGAGCGACCGTGACGCGCAACAACCAAGCACAGGGAGAGACGATTAATGATAATATGTATTATAAAAAAGACTTATCGCTAGAGAGTGAGGTGCTCGGTGGCTTGGCGCCAGCTCAAAAAACAGTGTCCGGACGTGCGTTTATTTTTGGCTCGGCGGGCGAACGGATACACGACGGGCTTGTGCTCGATACGGTTACACCGTCGTGGTGGAGGGACGTTCACATAGTGTTTATTTTAAATGTTTAAATTGTATCCGACGATCGACGACGACGACGTGGTAAACATTTCGCAGTGACTTGTCCGAGCCAGCAGCGATGAGTGTCCGTCCGGCCGTCTGTCCGTCTGTCTCTGTAAATGACAATAAAATATAATAATACATTGTACTATAACACGTGACGCCACCGGGCTGATTTCAAAAGTTTGAGATTTACAAACAATCGTATATAGATATATTATTACGATAACGATGCGAAAGTCCTCCAAAATGTATACTGATAACGCCGGCCAGTAGGTACGTGCGAAACAATATTCCAATTACGAATTATTATTATTATTATTATTATTTATTATATAGCTCACAATAATAACTACCTATCATTATATACCAACACACTTCACCTATATACACAGGGTGCATCCTGAGATATTAAATATATCATAAAACTGTTTTTTTTTCATTAGACTTGCAGAGACAAGGACTACACATATTTTATTTTTTAATTTAATTACATTCTTTGGTAATAAAGTTAAAAAAATTATTTTTTTATTTTATTATTTTTGAAATAATTGAAGATAACCATTTTATAGAGTTTATTTTCAACATCTTATTTTCATTAATCTTAATATGATTTTTAATAATTTTTTTTATCTTATTTTATTTTACCTATACGTAAAACTGCAAAAAAACCGGTTTTTGTCAGGAGTCCCTCTCTACGGCTAATGGGTATATCCTCACAGGACACCCTGTATATATATAATATATATATAGGATAATAAATAATATAATACTACCATAAGCAGATATAAAACTTATCGTACAACGTCCGTTTATAATATTAAAACACCTAATAATTATATTTAATATTATATTATTAATTACAATGCTCACATATGCGCAAATAATAATGGTAATAATTATATACCTAACATTGATGACATAATACCATGATAAATATATATAAAAAGTTATTATATTAAAGTTATTTAAGATTTTGTATTATTACCTGTTTGGCTATTTATATATGATTTATTAGAATGGCACTTAGAATTGAAAAGTCTTTCTGCTTTTCTACCCTCGCATTTACTTATTTTGAAAAGCTAAATTAGTTACAATTAGTTCATCGATCATCCGTTGTTATTGAATATAATAATATTATATTAATATCCTAAGTCATGTCCATTATTTTAAAATATTCAGATTATTTTTTTTGTCAATTTTAAATAATAATTATTAAAAATAAATAGAATAACTGCACACTAAATAGTTTGTTTGTATTCGTGGTTAAAACTGCCAGGGCCGGACCAAATTGACATGGCAATCTGTATATTGTCTGGTATTCAACATTGAGCCTTAAATATATATTTGTGCATACTATAATAGCATAATATTAATATAAATAATTATAATGAATATTAATAATATTATAATAGACGATAAGAGTTAAAAAAAATATTTTTTGCTGCCTGCGCATAAATAATAAAACATGAAATAATGTCAGTGGCATAGCCACAATTTTGGTTTTTGGAGATCTTTTTATTTTTATTTAGGAGTCACTTAACTAGTATTAGTATACACGATAAGTTTCATGCTCTAGGTATATTATTTTTAATTTTGGTCTCTGCACAATTTTTTATTTATACTAAACTTGCATAGTTAATTAAGCTTTTAGTACTTACCTAACTCTTTAACCATTGATTTTATGATGGGCATATACGCAGGGGCGTGCTTGTTTAGAGGATGAAGGTGTCATACTCCTCTCCGCATTTGCCTGATTTTTGTCACATAAAATATATTATAGTTGATAAATGAATTAAAGTATAGTTATCACTATATAACATGGTATGAGAATAGTCAAACATTTTATATCCCTCTATATCTTCCAATAAACCTTAACACAGAACTGCATATAAGTATATTTTATGTATTGTATAAATTATTTTATCAATACCCTAAATTGTACAATAAAGAATGGAAGAAATTATGAATTTCCTTTAGTATTAATTAAACGTCAACATTTAAAAATTATTTAAACATTATAGGTAACTACCTACTCTATTTAATCAAAAAATGAATAATTCAATAGCAAAACACTTTAGTAATATTTCAATGATACTTAACATTATTTTTAAACAAAAGTTTTTAATAAATGGTCAACAGTCAAAATAATAATGCTAATGTTTTTTTTTTTATGAAACCTTAATATGTTGTTTGGCCCTCCCGTGGTTAGAAATTCGTCCAAAATTGTTTCATCTAAAATTTCAATATCTATATGAATATCTATTGGATAAAAAAGCCAAACCAACAAGTCAACATGATGTACTTAGCTCCTATGCCACGACCAATGAGTAACGATGCACACCTGATACTCAATATGGAATATTCGAATACTATAACGTTATTTGTTAAAAAGCAATAAGATAAGAAAATAGAAAATAAATTAAAATCTATAAATTACAATCTCAAAACATGGTTACATAAATACATAATACGTTCAAAGAAGTTATAGGAAACTGAAGTCTGAATTTTTGAATCCACTCCCCTGACTGACAATCACACTGATAAATATATTTTGCAATTGATTAGTTATATAGGTACCTACGGGATATGTTAATATAATATATTATTATGCTTTACAATATACGTTACAATTCACAATTTTATAATATATAATATATAATAATACTCAACTAATTATTATTATTGGACTTATTCTCTAATATAATAATATTTTAATATAATATACATATTATCATATAATTAAATTAAAAATGTCACTTATTACTATTTAATAAACAATAATATAGGGTACAATACCCAGTATAATAATAATTTTAAGCTGTATTAAAAAATGTTGTATAGGTAAAAATAATTAAAATTAATGCAATACAAATAACAATATAATCGTATAAATAAATTATATTAGCTGTTTTTATGGGATATTTTAATTTATGAATAGTATTAAACATTTTTACATACCAACACAGTTTTTGAATAAATTCGTTTCTTCTGATCAAACGTGACGAATAACAATTATGTCGTAGTACCATCAACATTTTCGGAACACACTATAATACGTATAGTATTATCAACCCCGTGACCAATGTCTCCTATTTTTCTAAAACGATTTTCGCAAGTCTAAAATAAATATAAAGTATAAACTTTGAAGATTTTTCGTATTTTGTGTATGCATATTAAATATTAATATAATATATATATAAATATAAACAATTAAAAAAATATCCAATCATATCCAAAATAATACTTACAAATAAAATTGATAAAATTCGTGAAATTTATAAAATTACCATTTCGATTTTACAGAAACATGGCACAATTTGTTTTCGGGCTGGACTGTGAAATTTTCTCGATTTGGAAAATTTTGGAAAATCTTATACATTAAATAATTAAATACAATAGGTATATGAAAAACGTGAATCTTTGTGATTTTTCGACTATCCACTCCACTACGAAAACGCGTCGATTTTTAATTTTTTGTGATGTACGCACAATAAATACATAGCTGGTAGATGAAGTCGAGTTATAAATACTTTCCAAAATATAAAATAATAAATAGATAGCCAGGGGTGATGGATATAATAATATTATAATTTATAATGCTGCAGTGTACTATATTATATAAGTTATGCAATCAACATCCATTTGACGGTTACTAGACGTTGCGACGATAAAATATAATACGCAATTAATTTTAAAAACTATAAAAATGCATGTACACGAATGTTAAGAACAATGATTTTTTTAAATCGGTCTCGAGGTCAAGATACGTATAGTTACGTTACCGATAAATGTGGAAATGAAAAATGTATGAAATTCGTCGACAATATCCTTCAACAACGTGCGATACGCGCTTACTAAAGATTAATACACACACACACACACACCCACAAATCAAGTCTAGACAAATTTGCTCAATTTCAACGTATTATAGACATGTTTCCATAGTTATATACTATATACTATGCTACGTGGGCTAATTTAAAGTTTAGGAATAAAAAAAATATTTAAATCACCGGTCGTCGTGATCCTTGAGGTCGGCCACAGAGAAATCTGTGATTTTTACAGCGGCCCGTACACTGCAAATATTTTTGAGCGAAGGAACGGGGTTTCGTTATTTTATCAAGGGAAATAAATTAAATATAATTAATACTAGTATGATTTGAGGTATAAATATAGCTTAAAACAGGGGTCATCAATTAATAATTTTGGAGGGCCACATTGGGAATTTTGAATATTTTCGGGGGACGTCAAAATTCAAAGCAAATATTTGTATTATATTATTATAATTCAAAAGTAACATATTATAGTGGCCTGGGGTCATTAATAATAATGAATTAAATTAAATAAATTCAAAAAAATTTTAATTTATGATAATTTTAATAAAAATATAAAATTGGGTAAAAATTAGTGGGAAAATGGCAAGTTTAACTCTCAACTGACTGCTTGAAATTTGGTGTTTATTGGTGTAAATGAGAGGATGGGGTAAACTATCACTGAGGTAAATGATACCGAAGTAAAATAGGCCTAGTAAAGTTTTACTGGTTTAAAATGTACCTAGTGAAATTTTACCTCGGTGGGGTAAAATATTTAAATAGAACTAAGGTAAAATGTCATGGTTACACCGGCATTAAGATAAGGTCATAAGATACTGTATTATAAGTACATGTAAACTGCTCTTCACTCTCAATTTGTGGAAACTTGGTACATATACATAAATTACATAACACTTGATACAAATTAACGTAACATTTGAAACGGGATTATTCATTCCCTATCAGAAACATAAACATTTTTTTTAATATAAATTATATGTCATACCTACCATAAATTACAAGTTCAGAGTAAACTGACTATGATTGATGATTTTCTTGAAAAAAATGCTTCGGGCAGAAAACGTATATAGGTAATGTAATGTAATGTTTCTATCGATGTATTATTATTCCGTAGTTAGAATATTACACCATTTTATACAACCTAATTAATATTATTAATGCCTAACATTAGTAAACTATATAATAGACAATGTCTATAAGCACTAACAGACAATAAAGGCAATATTGTAAAAATCAAATGGTATATACATTATCGATTTAACTACGCAGACTCGTTATTATAATCCAAAAGACATTTTTATAAATTTTGGCTGAAAAATTCCGAAATCATCCTCATTACCTAGACAATTTGATAAATACATCATTGCTTGAAAATAAAGAGCATTAACATTATTTCCTAGTCAATATCGCATAAAGTCTAATTCGATCGGAAATATCGTTCATAAGAGGATGTGTGTCACACACACGTGTGATGTCTTACGAACGTACAGGGAAGGTACATAATAGTCCATAGAAAATTTAGTTCCAATTTTGTGTAGTGAGCTTTAATAATAGACCTGATAGTGAAACCCGGGTAGAATGGGGTCGTGGGAACAACGGAGTAACGGTTTTTTTACATACGCAACGTTGCGCATCGCTTATAGTCTCGTCGTAAATAATAACATTTTTCCTCCATGTAACCCTATAGATGATGTTATCACAATCGAAACTCACATATTTTTTAGCTAATTAGCTATTCGTTGTTTCACGTCAATTTTTTACAACTCTATTTGATTTTAATATAAAAACATTTTGTTTTATATTATTATCCTATTGAACTTAAAAGTGAGAACATTAGATATCTGAACTTTCACGTTGGTTTTTTACGATACTATAAATTTTTAGCAAGTTATGAGTACGTACCTATCTATAAAAAATATTACAATTTAGAAATCCTCAGAATTCGCTTTAACATTTTAATAGTGTAAAAATCCCATGTGAAAGCACAGATATAATGTTCATAAGTTTAAGTTGGGTTAAATATGTCAATTCTCTCTATTATTAAAGGTTAAGTATAGGTATTGCACAACACTGGAGCTGCTGAACACAAGTTTACTAAGTCGTACGATCGTAAAAAGGAGAAAATATATAGTGGGCTCCGTCGACTTGCTACCGTTAATTCATGTAATTCTTTAATTAACGTCTTCGACAATAATATAGTAATAATATTTATTAGGATAATGTCAGTGTAGTGAGATAGGTTGTAAGCCTAATATGCGGATATGCCCGGTAAACCATAGACCTATGGCTAATTCCTAATGAAGTATTTAGGAGTCACTATCGATACCTGCGGAAAAAAACCGATTGATAAAAGATTTTTCAAAATGATGTATAGGTAAATAACTGTATAAGACATTATGATTTATAATTATAATATTCTCATGGATGAAAATCAATTAAGATTGAGGGAAAATGAGAAAATTGTGAATTACCTACGTCCTACCTAAATAGTTGTGATTTAAGAATTTAAAAATTGCACAAGCAATCACTATATAGGTAGGTAGTCTATAAGCAAGGCTGGGAAACTGGGCAAGTTAACTATTTTTTTTTAACTCGTGAAGTTAAGTTAATATAGAAAACAGTGGCGCCACCTTCACTGGGGTCTGAATTGTGGATCCCCTCTCCTATTTGAATCCTAGTCATAATATATGAATGATCATAATAATATTATATTGTACATTAATTGTACGTAGAGAGATCAAATTGTAATCGCTATTTACGATTAAAATACTTTTTAACTATAATTATGATACACCGGTACAATATTGGTACAAAACCTCGGGAACTTCCTGGTCACCTTACCGTTAGGTGGTACTCGATAAAAATAACAGAATAATCATATATGGCATAAGCATTGTACACCTGCTCCTTATATATTATTATATTATATTGTGTTGTTGTACTCGGCCATTTACGCAAGGTATATTTTGGATACGACCCGCGACCGTACGTTTGCGACGGAATCATGGCCTTCTGTGACGAATTATTTTTAAAAAAGAATAATACTTTGACTATTTTATACATTATTACCTACGTACAGAGGTATCCATCAAATATCATCACAGTCATTGTACACATAGACCACGAACGAAATCACGTCATTAATTTTAAATCAACGTGTACACACATTTATGTATAAAAAACACACACAAACTTGAACACATGTATACAGGGTGTTTCGCCAAGCTTGTTCACCACCTTTTTTTTTTCTTCAATTGCAGTAGGTAATTCAAAATCTGCTTTTTGAAATTTCAAATTCTTGAGATGTTGTACCTACTAATTCTAAAGCGCCCTATAGTGTTACAAACTCCTGTTTTTCAACTGATAACTTTTCTACTGTAAATTATTTAGAGGATAATTTTTTTGAACATTTCGGCCTTTCGAGAGCAAAGGGAGTTGTGAGCTATTGTGATTTGAACATTTTATTAATTTATATTAATCTATCATTATTTATAATTTGTAAAAATGGTCTAAGTATAATATATTATTATATTTTTGTAAGCCCGTATCCTGAGACTATTATCCCTGGTATAGACATTTTAATTACTGAGAAACTACTCATTCGAATTTTGAATTAGGTACCTATAGGTACATCAAAATATTATCCACTAAATAATTTACAGTAAAAAAGGGGTGGGGGTTCTCATTTGGAAAAAACATAGGTTTGTATCACCACAGGACACTCGTCCTTAAGTAGTCGGAAAAAATCTAAGTGGATAGATACAGGTACCTGGATATATTTAAAAATTCCAAAATTCAGAGTTTGAAAAAATTCATTGTTAAAAGAAAACATGCTGGTGAAGGGTGAGCATAATATGATTGGTGAATCACCCTGTATACGATATTACAATATTATTTTATTATATTATACCTTTACCTATGTACCTATGACGTTGTGCGCGCGTGTTGTGTTTTAAGGGCACACCGTGTACAATATTATACGCACACACACACACACACACACACACACACACACACACACACACACACATGCATGGAAATACGCTAGCAAAGAACAGGCGAAACACGCGACGACGTTATAATAATAATATGGTAATCGATTCCGTACCTAATTCAAACTTATATAACTGTGAACAGTGAAAAACCGATGCAGAGCCCGTGCGCGCGGCGCATTTGGCCGTTTCGCGTTTCGTGTCGCGTCGTGTCGGGTTTTTTTTTTCGTTTTTTACCAACAAAATAATATTATATATTATTATTATCATCTAATTTATATATATATATATATATATATGTAAACAATACTAGTAATAATAATAATAATAATAACAATCATGATATCATGTACCTATGTTTATAATACACGTCGACGTACCTCTATTATACATTTATACCTATACCCACTTTTGTTATTATTATAATATTATGTATATTGTTTGCGCAGAAATCCGCGTACCTAAATGTACTTAAAGTTGTGTGTTTCTTTTGTATTTCAGTTGTCGTGTTGGTTAATATATCGCTGTCCCGCGAGGAATGTTTTCCCCGTGAGTAACAAAACAAAACATATTATTATATTTTAATATATTATATAAAAATGATTTAATACACTATATTATTATTTAATATTATTATACGTCTATTAAAAAACGTGTCGATACGACGGACAACGGTATCACGTTGTTACCATATTGCTAAATTCTATATCGATATTCGTCGGTTACAGGCGGACTTTTTTAGTTAAATTGTTTTTATGTTTTTTTTTTCACAAACCGTTTTTCGCATATTGTTTTATATTTCATCTTCTTAAATGCTGTACCATAATATAATATTCTATTATATACCGTTTTACTTGATTTCTGTTTACAACATAATATTATTATAATACAATATAATATATGCAATCGTTTTCACAAAAACTCCGGTCATATTAAATAATTATTTTGTCTTTCTTTTATATAATTTTATCTTCAGACGCTTTGTTTTACCTACCTATATACAATGTAATGCATATACGTAAAATAAAATATTACATTACGTACACCAATCGTAATACTACAATATCGACCCGAATGAAGGACCTTAGAATAATTACTGTTTTACTCGTTATTATCACACCCGGAGTCGTCGGTACTAGTACGGAATGCTCAGCATATCAAGGTAGGTGTGTGACGTAGTGCCACCGAATTATATAATAATAATATACTATAGTAATAATAACAACAATAATAATAATAATTAAATAACAATAATTAATAATTAATAATAGTGTGAAAAAATAAAACCGTATGCCGTGCTGAGTGCCGCTGACCATTAGGTGGTATATATTATGTTTACAGTATATACGACAGATAGAAGTAATAATGTGTACAATAAATACAAATAATTACCTTGATATTACCTATACGCACTTGCACACGTACCTATAAAATATTTTAGCAAGTACGAAATAGGCACCTATATAGGTAAATATAGCAATATAGCACATGGTTATGCTACCTTCTCGCTGGTGCAATATATAAACATTATGCGGTATATGATTAAGTAATATTGCATCATGCGAATTTGCAATAATAATATCAATAGTCATAATATTATGCATATAGGGCTCGAACTTTATAATGCTTTAAGAACTAAATATTATACGTTTAGTCCCGGATTAAGAGACAATTTTCAAAGAAACAAAAAAATTTTATTGTAGGTGTTTAAAATTTTAAGAATCTAATATATTTTTATAATTTTATTAGTTGGATACTTACAGCCCTATCCTTTTTACAAGCAATTTTTTATCAAAAGTTAAAAATTCAATTTTATTATTTATATTTTAGGTAACAATTAATTCAACTTACCGTACTACGCTAATAGTAAAATATATTAGTGTATTAGCAACATATATCTATAAAATATACTTAGTTATATAATAGGGTGACGGACCGTCTTCGCTCGGAATCGTTTTTAGTATCCAATGATTTATCATTGAATTAAAATTTAACACATTAGGATGACTTACTCAATAACGAGACACACTCCACCTTTACCTTCTTTCATTTTCTTTCACTGAAAATCTTTCAAATATCTATATCGCACTTCTATCATTCGTTAGTGTCGTTATGAATTATGATATGAAAGTTAAATCAATGTCCACAATTGTATAGGTAACGTAAAAATATTAAACTTTATAATTTATTTTTTTCAAGATCTTTATTATATGACAAAATAAAATTGTTTGGATTTTTACAAACTTCATCTACTTCTTAAAATAACACGTAAATAGTAAATTGGTTATACCTTTAATTCGTTTATATAATTCGGAACAGAAAGTATCAATAACTAATCTACCTACATTATGAATCTCTATTCTAGTATTCCCTACTTAAAATTCTATTTTATTTTCATCTAATAGGGCTTCAACAACTAAAAACTAATAAGCAATAACTTATTATCCTATTTTTAGATGAAATAAGGGTTATAAGTAAAAACAATTAAACCATATTAGTACTATTCCGAAAAATACCCGAATTTTTAACCAAAATACCTGAACGTGCCAGCCACTAATGACCCACTATTAATTAATAATCGGCTTCTTTAATCCAGGCGTTATTGTATTTTCCTTAAAAAAATGAGCCGTCGCTGGACACCTGGCAGATGTGAAAACATCGAAATCATTGTGTATAGAAAATATGCATGAAAATTGAAAGGATGGTTCATTTATAGGAGCACACAACACAAAAATAAATTTTCTTCAAATCATTATTAAATTCTAAGTCATTGTAGTCAGAACTACTAAAAACAGTTTTATCAAAATCCAATCTAAAAAAAAGGTGGGCAAGTGGGTTTCACTCTGCAGTACAGTAGGTTACAAGTGTTTAGCATTTAGCTATAATGGATAATGGATATTGGATAGTATTAAATTTGAATTCAATGATATAATATCATTGTATAAGAAAAAAGATTCTGAGCAAAGACGGTCAGTCAGCCTTGATATATGATATTATTGTGAATAAAGTAATTTATATATAGCCTATTTAAGTGGAACCTTATTTTAAATTTTCAATCCTTATAGGTATAAAAGTTGAACATTTTATACATTTTTAACTACAAAATAATCACTAAATTTTATATTTGATACATTTGGTCAAAATTCGAACTCTAATGCTTATAAAAAAAAATTTTGCCTATGTATTTTTAATGCATTTTTCAACTACTATTGTAAAAATATATCAGGAGCCTTGTATTACATTTTCACGCACTTTTGCTCAACAAATAAGATTTTATTGATAATTATAGAAAAAATAATAAACAAATTGAAAACTGACAATGTCAAAAAAAGAGTCAAAATTCAAAATCAAGTTTCAAAATCTTATGGTGTATAGAAATGAAAATATAAACATTCATTGACATTTTCATGTATCTACAGTTATTCGTTTTTGAGTTACAACAAAATAACAAAATCACTACATGAGAAATCGAGTGAATATCCAATCTTGTGAACATATGAACTACAAACGCTCATAAAAATTTAATTTGATTTGCTTGTAGACATATTTTTTTTTTTGATAAAGGTAGACAAACGTATGAGGAATCTTGTATTACATTTTCAAATTTTCGATTTAAATAGAACATTTCTTATGAATTTCCAACTCAAAATAATTTGCATATTTTCATGAATTTTAAGTATTTTGTCAATATTTGAACATTAATTGCTTATAAAAAAAAATTGAGACAATGGATTTTTAATATTTTTCATCTGTCTTTGAAACAATATATTAGGAGCCTTCTATTGAATGTTCAAGCGTTCAAGCTTTTTTACCCACAACAAATACAATTTTATTGTATTGATATTTATATAGGAAAAAAACTAAAAATAAATGGAAACTGAAAACGTCCGTAAGCATCTCAATATATTTTGAAAATGTTATGGTGTATAGAAATGCAAATATAAACATTCAGTCAAAATGTCATGTATGTAATTTGTTTTAGAGTTAGGTACACCAAAAACTGTGTAAAAATTCCAGTTTTTCCTTAAATTATAATTTTGACCCCAAAGTAACAACTACATTCATTTTCCTATCAGAAAAGATACTGTTGAAGAAAATCTAAGCACTTTTACTGTCTTAAAAAATGACGACAGACAAGAAAAAAACACATACCTAATTATAAGATCAAAACATTCATCACTCCACTCAGAATTTAAAAAGTATTATTTAAACAGATATTGGGATAACCACTTGTCGTCACTGGGCAGGGATCTGCATAATCGCCTATCTAACGCGTATAAAAGTTACTCACTTTACACAATGATTTACCAATCCCTTTTTTTTATTCTTGATTTATGTAGAAACATGTGATTTTTTTGTGCTAAAGACGATAGAATTATCAGAATTTCAATATAACGTTTAGTTTTTTTCAATATTAAAAATACTAAAAGAGATATTTTCATTAAGTACTACATACATTGTAGTTATAAGTTATAACGGCGCATCGCGTCGATTTATTTTAATAAACATTTTAAAAATTTAAAAACAAGATTAACTTCTAAGACAAATTCTGGTCCCACCAACGTATTCAGTACATAAAAACACACTACATAGGTACAACAAAAATTTGAAAATATACTTTTAAGGTAGGTAAATTATTATTGGGTGAAGTGAGTAACATATTTTATAGGTACATATAAAATAGGCAATTACCGCGAGTCCGACCAATGCGTCTTTTTTCAATTATTCCTCATAAAGTCATAAGCATAACACAATGAATAATGTTAGTAGAAACGTTAAGTGGACGTTACACCGACATCTGATGTCTCCGTCTTACAAGTGCGTAACATAGCAAATTTTGCGCTCAGCAGATCACGTTTAACTCTGTTAGTTTAAAAATTAGTGTGAATTTACCTGTTGTCTGTTATAAAATTTAAAGTTAAGATCTAGGCCATCTCATATAGGCTTTTTTTTTATATTTTAATTTTAAAACGATATCTGAGTATTTTAAAATTTAAAATTGTTTGTATATCTTAAAATAGTCATAACTCGCTTTAAAATTGAAATATAACAAAAAAACCTATGAGATTACTCACGTCCTCTTATGAGGACTTGATACCCTCATGTGTTATCTCCGCCGTCTTACAACAGTTGCCAAAAACTGTTTTACGCATAACAACTTTACTCCCTCTGTATTTATAGTAAATTTACAAAAATTCTACAACGCATAGGGAAGAACTTTGTCCGCGACGAAGCGTTTGTATTTTTTGAATAACGTAAATACAATTAGAGTTATCAGTTTGAGACCATTAGTTTTTTTTCAAATTAACTGTTAAAAATAAAATTATTGATTAGTGTAATCAAAAAAATTTAAAAGCTACGTCAGAGATGAAGTTCTTCCCTATACGTTGTGGAATTGTTGTAAATTTACTATAAATACAGAGGGAGTAAACTTGTTGTGCGTAAAACAGTTTTTGTCTATATTTTACCTACACTTGTAAGACGGAGACAACACATGCGGGAGCACGTCCTCTTAAACCTATAAGTACCATTATTGTTAGAATTGAACAATCTTTCAAATTAAAAAAAAATTATTTTATGCTTTGTGCTCCTTAAAAAAAATATAAACGTGGCCTAATCAAGAACAAAAAATTCAGATTTTTTTTAAGAAAAATAAATCCATATTTTAAAAGCGCATTAGATGTTTGGCACGTGTTTACATTTTGAGTTAAATTAATAATTAAATATGCACTTATTAGTTATATACTTATATGTATATTCTACATTGAAAATTATAGCAAATTTATTTTCAATTTAGCCTTTATAGGTACCGACTTTTTTTATTATAATGTACAATATTAGTAATAATATTACTCTTCACACCATACAGACAATAACACAATATACCTAATATAGATAATAAAATATAAATACGTAGATAATAATCTAAAATAAATACGAACTTCAATACATTGTAAGTCATGAATTCATGACATGACCACAAGTTTAAAAGCTTCAATCATTGTAATTATTTGTAGTTAATGAAGTTTTCAATCATATTACTTCCAACTAAAATTTGTAATAATCCTCAAAATATACGGATAAACATATGTTTGATACTCAGTTCGTTTATTCTTTAAATTAATTTATGTAGCGTAACTATATAACAAAAAATCTAAAAACAAAAAATTTAAGTTGAATAAAGTTTGAGCTCTAATATAATCATAATATATTATTAATTTTACTGCAGTTAAGTACATAGTACATATACCAACTATATTATATTAATAAAATCTAAACATTGGTTGAGTTTGTTTGATTATTTTTATTTTTCTGCTCGGATATACTATCTCACTTCACTTGTAGGCAGCTTGAGGGAAGGGGTTCGAATAAAATTTACATTTTGGTCACAACTTCCTCCCCATTTGTAGATTTTTACAGATTTCCGTACATGCAGGGTGATTTTCCAAGAAAGCTCACCCCTTTTTTCAATAATTTGAAATCAGATTTTTAGAATTTTTAAATATCTTTAAAGGCCATATTTTTAAACTCTTTGGATGAAGAATTATCTTTTTGTTAACACTGTCTTGTGGTGACAAACTTCTATTTTTAAAATGAACCTCCCCGATTTTACTGTATTTATTTAGCTGATAAGTTAGTACTTGATACAATTTTGATGCACCCAATTAAAAATTCAAACAAGTAGGTACCTATAGTTTCTCAGTTATCAAAATATTTATACATACCAAGGATAATAGTCTTCAAAAATGGTTTTAGAAAAATATAAAGAAAGTGTAAATATTTATTGAACTTTGACCATTTTTACAAATTATTAATTTAAACACTATAATTGGCAAATCACCATAGCCCCTATATCTTTCCAAAGTCCAAACCTATTGTCATGGACCTATTACACTTAGTACACAAAGTTAAATAAATGAAAAACTACCCGTTAACATTTTGACAGATACGTTTTCAAAAAAAATTTCGCTAAATAATTTACAGTGGAAAAGGGGGTTATTCTCCTTAAGTAGTACAAAAATCTCAAGAACTTTAAAATATAATCTTTAGGTACTTACCTATATTTAAAGATTCCAAATTATATTTATTTTGAATAATTGCATTATTCAATTATTGAAGATAAAAAGGGGGTGTTTATGCTTGGCAAATAACACTGTGTAATATACGTACCTATCTCATACTCATATAATGTGGGTACCTACGTACAACTCAGTTGTCACTAGTATAATATTAATTATAATTATTAAAAATACGCACCCTTCTTAAAATATGAAATAATAATAATATTAATAAGTTCGACTATATTGACGTCCATTAAACCTCTCCGAACCAGCGAATATTTTCTTGAAAAATGTTTAGGTTTCTATTTTTTTTTAAACTTTTAATGAGTATAAGGTTGCTAACCTTAAGAGAGAATTACTTAAAAACAATAACAGTATTTTACTAAAAATATGAATTTAAATTTATGTATACCTACATTTTGTTAAACGTTTCACAATATTAATAAATTTAATAAATAATCAGGAAAAATATAGTTTAATGATTTTTTCTTTAGGCCACAATATTTTATTGGGGGGACGGAGTGGCCGAGCGGACTAAGGTTACGAGTTCGATTCCTTAGCCACGGGTGGCATTTTTCTTCGGACAAGTTAAGGTGTCCGGAGAACAAGTGCCGCCATCCCCCATGGCAGATGCCTACAGGTTCCCAATCAACAATTCTGCCAAACACAACACACACGTGTAAAAATCCTACCATTATAAACTATACTCCCTACAATCATAAAACCCCACAATCAACTAATGGCCATAGTCGCCGGGCTTTAAAAAGATCAATAAAAAAAAAACATCTTTTATTGTTATATAGAGTTTACGATGTACATGGTAAGTTAACGATGTACATATATCTTACATCAGACTTACAAAGATCTTAGGATAAATTAATTTTAATTCCCGATGTTTATATATTTTTTGCACTTTAAATTAATTAATACAAGTTCAATTTTTGGTGAGTGAGTAAAATATATCATAAATCTCTCCCATAAAAATGATGAAAAAATATATATCTTTAACTAAAAACTATAATACACCAATTAATGAACCATTCCACAACATTAACCTGAACCAACTGACGTTATGAATAGACGGAACTTTAGAAAACATTTTAAACGATCGTGGTACCTAAATAAATCATTAAACCGCAATTTGTGCTTGGTGGCTATAACAATAATCGTGTGGTGTGTAAAAATATGGTTGATGGTTTTTCACATAATATTTCTAGAATTATATTCGCTGGTAACTGATGAATGTCACAATAATAATAATAATAATAATAATATCATAACAATGCTGAGTGCGGTGATATATAATATATTGCAGTTAAAACTCTAAAAACAAATTAAAATTCATCAACTCGCCGGCCCGTTTAAATCGTTTATATTGATATTGGTTTTGTTTTGTCATGCAATCTCCTGCGACGCCTTCAGCTCGGTCCATTTACTGTTACGAGTGCGACAGCGCCAAAGATCCTCGCTGCAAAGATCCGTTCAACTACACAGCCATGCCTCAAGATCAACCGCCACTGGTCAGCTGCAACGGCTGTTGCGTTAAAATGGTCCGGTACGTGCGAACGTGTAAGTATAAACATTTTTTTTCAATCGACCAATATGGACTGTCTAAAATGCTGCACTATCGAGTACCTACCTACCAACAATTTTTTTTTTTTACCGTTTTAGTAAATGACAAATGTTGGTATGTTTTTCAGTCGTGACTTTACCAGCTACTTATTTATACTAACCACCTTCCTATATATTTCCCCGATATTCCACAAACATATTATAGTTTAAATATATTTATGAATATTGGTGTGTTACTCTTAAAACGCATTAATATATTGTGACCGACCAGATCACAATGTCAAAATATGTCTGTCCATCCAATGCTGCACCGGTTTCGCCATTTTTAAAGAATGATCTAACATAATATATCTGCAGTAGCTGTTTTGACACAACTTGCCCAATCCTATACTCGAGTACTATAATAATAATATGTGAACTAGTTAGTATAGTTACCACGTCAGCCCATCGATAGAATCATTTGAATCATTTCACCATGATAGTCCACATTAAACAAATGGTTTTTTGGTGGATATCACCGTTCACTTTATCAAGGATTATTATTTTATAAAATGTGTTTTCACGCATACAGTCAAACACTAAATTGCATTTGTAAGTTATAACTATGATATTGTTATACAGTACCTATTATACACATTGTCACCCTACGACCGCACATTAGTCACGCACATACAGGAAATGGACCGAATGACGGCTAATTAAATTGACGCCCTTTTTTCATAGACACGGTCTAAACGTCGGACAACAATTTATAGGTTCTTCCGGTAGTTAAGGTATAGTTTGATTTAAAAAATTCAAACACGTTCGAACATATAAACAAGCACTTACTCTGCGTCTAACCTAACCCTATAATTTGTTTAAATTATACGACATTTCTGCAACGAATGAATACCGAATAACGAATACCTGTTTAAAGAAAAAAAATATTAGACAAATTAATCATTATGTATTTTACTTTTTTTTATTACTTTGAAATGTCTTTGTTTTGCAATTTACTAATAATTGCATTTTCGATTGCTACGAGCCGTTTGTTTGTCTTTAGATTTATTAGTAAGTGTTACAATAAATATTAGTTTGAAATTGTTTACAATATTTAGCCTACTACAATATAACTATAAATATATTTGGGTCTTTATAAAAATCTTTAGGATGTGAATTAAACGAGACTTACACACATAGATAGTATGGGTTGTACATACACACATTACATATATAGCATATAGGTATAGTATTATAATCGACAGCAGTTATTTTCACTTTATAATACAGTACATAGCACTACAACACTAGTGTTGGATAAATATTTTAATATTTGGAGGAAAATCGATATAATTTTTTTGATGTTAAACTATTAACCATATAGATATTTTAAACTTTCACGAAATATATATAATTTGAATCTTTTTGAATTATTTATAGGCATAAGTAGGTACTAACAAAATCATAAAAATAAATAAAATATCAGATCCAAAACAGTAATTGTGCAGCCTAGGTGGGTAGGTATAGATATATTATTAGAGCTCGGCATAATATATGCTTGAAAGCGCACAATCCTATTCCCTAGTGTATAATATGTATATGTATGTTTTTACTCATAGCTCACATAACTACTGGTAAAATAAGTTTATTTACAAATTACAACTAACATAAGTCGTAATGAACTATGTAATATAAACTTGTAACGGGTGTCAACCAGTTGCCCCCCTACATCTGTTATAGGGATTTAAAAAATATACCAGTTGCCCTCAGCCAAATATGCAAGTTGCAAGTTGCAACCAACCGAATGTGCCAGTTGTCCTTACATGTTAATGTATACTATATACAACATTACAATATATAGCCCGTAAAATAGGGGAGGTATATTTATATACAAAAAAAAAAATAAAATAATAGAAAAAAATTCATATGATTGGAATATATACCTAATATTATTAAGCTAATATAACTAACTTTATTTTGTAATTAATAATAATTACTAACAAAATAATTTGAATACAATAGTCCATAAAATCATAAATATTATAATTATGAGACATTCAATGTTATAATTTTTCAACAAAAAAAAATAGTAGAAATGATAGAAAAAATTCATAATAAATCATATAATTATAATGAATGTACATGTTCAATGTGATGATTTGTCAAAAAAATTAATTATATTATTATGTACTATGTTTTGTTATCAGGGCCGGTTTTAAGGGGGGCACCGGTGGGCAATTGCCCGGGGGCGGCAAAATTATCTCAGATAAAATAAACAAAAAATTAATTTTTTTGTAAAGAGAAAGATTTCTAAAAAATGATATATTTTATTCTTATTTATTTTTTATATTCACATATGCTTCAATTTTTTTTACCTAAATTTTATCATTTTAAATAAAGAGAAATAAACGTTATTAACTAAGTAGGTAGGTACCTAACATTATTAAATATTAGTGGGTATATTTTTACTAGTAAACTGTAAAACTAGACGTATAATATAACTGCGTTGGCCCGTATTGGCAAATCAGAATTATCGATTGTACTTATTTACTGGCTACTAAAATACATTTGTATCATTTCATATTATACAACTTGCTAAACTCTATATGTCAGTGACTACGTAGGTACTCCGTACCTACATAATTTAAATCTCAATAAGTGAACTAATATAATAGAAATAAGAGTTTACTTTTTTTTGAATTGTTATATAAAATAAAATATTATTATTATTATTATTATATTATTTGTAATAATATTAAAACTTTCAACTTTATAATTGATATTGTAAGGTTGTGCCAGTTAAGGTAGGTACACTACAATTACACAGTTTAGGTTCACTTAAATTACATTGCAAATCTGCATACAATTATTGGATATATTTATATGTTTATATATTTATACATTAGACATATGAATTGAATGCAGTAATTTAGCCATAGTGGCAAGTAGGTAAATAATAATTAATAAGTAAGACTAGATAAGTTTAATTGTGTCATAACAATTTTTTAGTTGAAATTATACTTTAATGGAGCTAAAAAGAGTCAAAGCTAGTGGTGTATGCAATGGTAAGGAGGCAAAAAAAAGAAGGAAAAACCTAATGAAGTTATAAGAAAAACAAACGAAATAAATACCATGTTTAAACTTAAAAGAGAAGAGCATAGTGAGAAAGTAGAAACCATAGTTTGGAATTCAAAGTAAACACATATTTAGTGATTTGTGATTCTATAATAGAAGAATTAACAAGTCGAAAGTTAGCTTACGATAATGTCATAACAAAGTATAGTTTTTTCTTAAGACTCACAAAGATAAAACCATCAGAAGTAGGTACGTGTTTTAGCTGAACATTTGTACTCAATGTACCTATACAAAAGATTTGGATGTAACATTTATTCGAATGTGTTCATTTTCAAAGTTATATTCAAAGTATGAAAAATTCTCCATCAACTATAATTGATATGAGTTCTATGTTAAAAATAGAAGGATCAGAAGACATCTACCCGTGTGTTAGTATTGTTTTGCTTTACACATGTTTTTATGTACTCCCTGTTCAAACTGTACCGCTGAACGGTCATTTTCAACTTTACGCTGAATAAAAACATACCTAAGGTCAACAATTTCTAAAGAGGGATTAAACTCACATGCAATATTAAATATTGAATCAGAAATAACAAAACAAATTAAATATGAAGATATTATAGATCATTTTGCTGATATTCAATCAAGAAAAAAATTGTAAAATAAACAATAAATATTATTATATTACTATATTATAGTACATATTATTAATTGTATATCATTCTTTATTATTTGAATCATGGAAGATTCTAGGTAGATAGTACCTAAGACCTAAGTTATAAACTAGTTACTTATGTTTTTTTTTGTATAGTTTACCTACTATTAAAAATCTAATATTGGAACGCATAGGTACCTAGTTAAAATCGCTAAAAATTAACTGCAAATTAAATTTCAATGAGAAAGGGAAACATAAAAAATGAATTAATGTTATTAATGCCCCCCCACCAAACAAAAAAATTAAATTTTGCCACCACTTCTATGGTATTAAAACAAATGTGTTGGAAAGGGGCGCCATAAATATTGTGCCCGGGGGCGAAAAATCCCTAAATACGGCCCTGTTTGTTATAATAATTACTACTTAATATTTATAATTATTATGTGTATACTTAGATACCTCATCTATCTTACTACCTATATATTGTAATCGTATATATATTTACATATGAGGGTAACTGGTACATTCGGTTGGGGGCAACTGGTACATGCCCCTTGTAACGATATAATGTCATAATGAACATAGGTATATATTATTTGATTTTTGAAAACAATTAGGTAGGCACCTCTTACGATGATTTCAGAACCAAAAGGTGCTAAATTGAGTTTTTGAAAATCCGTTGTTTTATAAGTACCTACCTATTTCTCACATCTATATGTTAAGTTACCAATGTCGAGTTATGATTCAATTATAATTTCACAAATAAAACGAAATTTTAATTTATTTGTCATGTGTTTGTGTACCTACACGATAAGTAGGTATTCGAAATAGTTCTTCAATTTTCAACTTCAGTATCTTTTCTGGTGGGAAAGTGAACGAAGTTGGTGCATTCGGGAGATTAACATTTAAAATTCTATTTCTGTGTATAGACAATGAAAATATAAACATTCAGTGAAATCTTAATGTATTTACAGTTATTCGTTTTTGTAATACAATAAAATAAGAAAATCGCTACATGAGAAGTCGAGTGAATATCCAATATTGTAAAAATATGATCTTCAAATGATCATAAAAATTAAATTTAAGTTTAAATTTTTTTTTCGATAAAAGTAGACAAACTTATGACTTTATGAGGAATCTTGAATTACATTTTCAAATCTTAGATTTAAAAAGAAAACTTTTATGAATTTCTAACGCAAAATAATTTGCACATTTCATAATTTTTACGTATTTTGAACTTTAAATGCTTATAAAAAAAATTTTAACCGTGTATTTTGAACATTTTTCAAACGCCATTGTAACAATATCTTAGAAGACTTCTATTAAATTCTCAAGCTTTGTTACCCAAAAAATAAAATTTCATTGACATTTATAGAAAAAAAAAACTAAAAATATTGAAAACTGAAAATGTCCGTAAACGGCTCAAAAAGAGTCAAAATATTTTCAAAATTGTATGGTGTTTAGGAAATGCTAACATAAACATTCAGTGAAATTTTCATATAAGTATCTTTACAGTAATTCGTTTTTGAATTAGGTACAACAAAATAAAGAAATCGCCACATGAGAAATCGAGTGAATATCCAATGTTGTAAAAATTTGAATTTCAAACGCTCATAAAAATTTAATTTGACTTTCTTATAGAATTTTTTTTTTTTGATAAATGTAGGAAATCTTATAAGGAATCTTGTATTACATTTTCATATCTTATATTTAAAAAGAAAAATTTTTATGAATTTCTAACTCGAAATAGTTTGCAAATTTTCGTGATTTTTCCATATTTTGTAATTTTTTGAACTTTAAATGCTTAAAAAAAAAAACTGTGACCAACGATTTTTAATATTTTTTATCTGTCTTTGAAACAATATAGTAGGAGCCTTGTATTAAATTTTCAAGTATTTTTACTCAACAAATAAATTTTTATTGATATTCATACAAAAAAAAAACTAATAAAATTGGAAACTGAAAATGTCCCTAAACAGTTCAAAATAAATCAAAATATTTTGAAAATGTTATCGTGTATAGAAAATGCAAATATAAACAACCACTGAAAATTTCATGTATCTACGGTCATTTGTTTTAAAGTTACACCTAAAACCAAATTAAATTTTGCGTAAAAATTCCCGTTTTTCCTTAATAAAGTTTTCGTTTGTTTTTCTATGCACTTTTGAAAATTACTGGGAATTTTATATTTTGACCTCCCCAATGCACTAAGTATAGATTCACTTTCCCATCTAACAACATACCTACGGAAGTTGAAAATCGAAGCATTATTTGGACAACCTATCGTGAACACAGAAACAATAAATTAAAGGAAAACACATCATTGTAAAATCAAGACAACCATCGCTCGGCTCAGAGTCTACAACTTAAGTGGAAACTGTTAATACATTTTGAAGTTTTTTGTCAGAGCAAAAACATTTTAATTGAAAATAATTGAAAAAAAAACTGATCAAAATCGATCATTCTAGACACCAGCAAAACGCACCAATATATTAATAGGTTAGTTTAGGTTAGGTATCAGTAACTCATAGGTATTTATACTATTGTCAGCAAGAGATAACGTCGTGGCCCAATGAAAACTTGTTCTCCAGCTGGTCAGAGTAATATAGTATAGGAAGGTACCTGATTTTCCTACAGCAGCGTTAATTCTAAATTTATAAACCATTCGACTGTCAATATTATACAACACTTTACACTATAGTTACCTACCCAGTCTTTTGCACTGTTAATTATCATTGAATATTAATATAAATTGTATTGTTTCATGCACACAGCATACGAGAGCATCAAGAGAACGTGCACGTCACAACTGCAAATCAACCTGTTCATGGTTGACCACGTGTGCATGATGGAAGGAACGGGAACGGGACACATGTGTTTCTGTGAAGAGGACAACTGCAACGCGGCCACCGGACCGGCACGGTCATCGGCGTTAGTGTCTGGTGCCGTAGCCCTTGCAATGTACGCTCTTAAACTGCTGTTGTACCGGTAGACCTGGTCCAATAGCATTTCATCATACATTTATTTACAATTTTTATTTTCCCTAAGTGTATATTTTTATTTTTATTTTTTATCATTTCACTTAATTATATACGTATGAAGTAATAACTAATAATAATAACAATAACAATAATGTCATTAATGTCGAAGTATGTTAACAATAAAAGAGCCCTAGTTGACAGAATAAAAACTCACCCGCCATTGTTATAAGTGTTCAGTTTTTTTTTTTATCATAAATACTATTTACCACCGTTAAAAAAACCAATCAAAAAGTATAATAAGGCATGGACCGCATAGCAAGTATATCGACTTCATCAGTAAACCGATTTTTTGACACAAAATCATTATAATTAATACAGTATGTCAGTATAGTTTTTTAATAATATTATAATAATAATGATACAATGAAATCAATACATTTATCGTTATAGTGCACGTAAATTATGTGTGTTTCATCTACCATTAACAATATTATAATAATTATAATCCTTATTATGCTTAAATTCGCTAATCAAAGAGAATATGTTATAATAATGAATTCGTTCTTCGGTAAACATTAAGTTTTTGTTTTTAAGTTAAATGAAAATACATACATTTATTTTTATATGATATATTATTATACACATATATATATATATATATAATATATATATGTATAATAAATAACTAATAACAATGTTAATATTCACAATGAAAAAATTATAATTTTAATAATTAATAGTAAATAAATAAGTATATAAATATAATTACACTCCTTTAAGTAAAATTTTAATTAGTAAGGTGAGTACTATAAAAGTTAATGTTAACCAATACCTACAGCAGTTAGCTAGTAATTGAAAAAATAAACACTTTAGGTATAAACAAATGTTTACATATTATGCCGTTACAATAAATAATGCAAAAAAAAAAAACTATAAATTTACTTTAAGGCACAATTAAATGGCAAAACGTGTGACATGATGATAAAATAATATTTAATGTGACAATTTGATTAACATTAAACCAAGATCAAATTGTCATTATAACGATTAATTGAAGTTTTGTCATACATTAGTTACAGATTTATAAAGCAGTCAACATTTTAATTTTTAATAGTAAATATATATTTAATTCACTATTGCGTTAAAACAAAATACAAAAATACATATAATTCATATTTGGTATGAAACAAATAATTAAATATTTCAAACTAAATTTATATAAAAAAAAAAAAAAAATGAACAATAATTTATAGTTTTAACAGTATTGAGTAGAAACATTTTACAAGGCGTCTATACTAACATAATCTCATAATCAATGTTTTCGATTAATTTTAGTATAACTACTATTTTTAGTTGTGCCATAAAAAGGTATTCTAGGGCACATATTTTTATAAATCAAGAAATGTAATTGTTTCCAATATAAAAATGAATAAATATCATGAGTAATCTTTCAATTGCATTTTATTATAATATTACAGAATATTTGGATTAAACGTCAAATTTACTTATATACTACACATTTGTTCATAATAGTTTTTTCTTAAATTCACTATTTTCACAAAAAAAAAAAAATCATATTATTTCAAACTATTAGTTAAATTGTGAAATTTAAAGATTGTTTAGTTGATATATTTATTTAGAACATTTAAATTAATAACAAAAAAGACTGCAGTTACTTGATTGATTCTAAGTATTGATTGATTTTGTAAAAAATTTTGTTAGTAGAGACAGCCCTTAATTAACAAATATATATATATTATCTTTTATAAATTTATCATAATACATAATTAATAATTATGTCTACAGAGCATTAAAATTCGATGTTTTTGTAGTTGTAAATACTTATTGGATAATATTTACAATTCGATAATGCTGTTGGGCTATTAAAAATAGAGTATTAATTTATAGACTATTTATATAAAAAGTTAGCACAAACACCTCTTTCCAAGTTTGCGATTATCTAAAGGTACAATAAGCACAGTTAGTCATTATTTACGTAGACTGGTCATGAAAGACAAACTAGTTTGAATTTCAGCAATACAACGATATGTTTATGTTAAGATAAGATTTTAAAACTTAAAACAATTACTAATCGAATGAGTTAATTGACTAGAATTTCTGAAAGTGAGATGGTTCTAACCGTGATATACATTTATAATATATATAAGTAGTGATTTTTATTATTATTATTTTTGATGGTTCACTACTACAACTAAATATTTAGTGCGTGAATAAAAATTTTAAATATAAACATGTATAATAATATATTCGTGTTAGGAACTCACATGTTAAAAACAAGATACTGTTATGAATAATGTCACTGAATAAAATTGAAAACAAAAAAAGTAAAATTGTTGAAAGCATATTATGATGTCTCGTTAAGTTTCAAAACAGAATTGTTCAGACAATAATAAATTGAATTAAAATATACCATCAAGGTTGTTAGTGCTCCTTTATATAAATAATAAAAAAACATGCATTATAGGCTCTGGACAGTAAGTCTTTTGTGTTTGTGTAAATTAATAAGTGCAGATGGAGGAGAGCAGCATAATTTTAAAAGGAAAAGTTCATGTACGGGTGAATGTGACTGCAGGATATCGAAAGAATTCTGATGCTCTCATTCGTTGACTGTGTACGATTTGGTTGTCGTTGTTGTGTTGTTGCTGATGGTGGATGAGCAATTATACTTTACTGTGTTGTTCTTTGTGGACATCGAAGAGGATTTGTTAAACACATTTTTGGGGCTCGAGCCTAAAAAATAAACATTAATACCTATTAGTTTCATTAATAATCAAACAAATGTATTACTAGATATTAACACTAAAATTATCAGGCATGCACTTTGATAGTTTTTAAAAGGTGGCTTGAAAGCAGTCTCCTAGGTTTTGAAATTGACTTCATAGTATGTAAATAAATTATAATAAGTTAAAAGGAAAGTAAAAATATTTATATTTTTAAACAAATTTTTTTTTTTTTAACTTATTAAAATAATATTTTCAAAATTGTAATTTACTAGTCAAATTTTCTGCTGCATATCTATCATCATTATTTATTTAAATCCGTTATTTAGATTCCTTACATTTTTAAGTTACAAATAAAATGATTGTGTAATTCAGAAGTAGCTAATAATGCAGCCATATCATTAAGTATGCGCCAGTGATTCAATTGTGTATAACGTACTAGTGTAAAAACCTAGAAAAAAACTGAAAACAATAATGAAACAATTTTGAAAAAAAATCATGAAGATTATAAATAGAAACAACGATAAAAAAAATATTAAATATGGTAACTAATTAATCATATTACATTTTCAAAATAATTAAAGTTTGTTTATCTAATGTCTTATAGTTTTGTCAAACAACTATACAAATGGTTCTAAATACACCAATTTTGTACAGCTATTGCAATTAATGGGATTGTCATTAATAATGTTGTTCTTATTTTCTATTATATTTAATTGCAAATTTTACTTGTTTATTTTTAGTTTTAATCCAAGAAGATTATTAGAGAAATAACTATGAGTAACTTTATAAATTCATTATATTTATGAAAGCCAATTAATTGTATTTAAGCGTGTAGTACACTTGTGCAGTAGAATAATTAATGCACAACACTGGTTAGCATTATTGTCATCTCTTCAGCTACTACTGGAACTAGAGATAGATATAGAGGATATCAGAGGCAGAGAATGACATGCTGTATAGAAGAAATTAAAGATTTATCCGTATTAGCAGCATACTATAAAATACATTATTTTTCAGTCCTGAAGGGAATCTCAAAACTATCATAAGATAAACCAGTGGATCGTTACACTGCGGCAGTCATAAAAAACCGGTGATATCTACATGCCCACTTTTACTTTAGATACGTACAGCAAAATAGAAAATACATTATATTATATATTTAATATTATAAGTTTGATAATTCCAATTTTTTGAATACTTTCTATATTCAAACTCGTATATCCACAACACTAACTAAATTCCGTGATTTCTATATTACAATAGAAAATAGTAGATATAGAACTCTAGGTGTAACTTCATTTAATATAACTTATGTCACAGTAAATTCTCTCCAGGCAGACATAATATACTTAAATATAAATTAATTCTTCAATATTTTATCGTATTACACCACGGTATATTTATTGTTGATTATTATCATAAATAAATACACATTTAATTCCTGTTTCGTAGTATATAATAAGAAATCAGTGGTTTGAGATTATTAGAAGTTAGTACTTAGCAGCAGCAGCACAATAGAATAAAGCAAGCAACAGCATTTAAGCTTTCAAAGCATTAAAAACCGGTCTTGGTAGAGAGCAGTGTCCACCACTTCATTGCTCTTGTTCACCACATTATGTGTATTTATTGTTAGGTGGTATACCTGCTGAATTGTACGTGTACAATTTATTTGTGCCCGAGTGAAACGTTTCATTAAAAGTGTTCAGACTAGTTTGATCATTCGAGTTGTTGAGGAGCTTGTATACGTTGTAGGCATTTGCCTGAATGTTGTCTCCATTTTCATCCATACTACTGTTGACGTAGTTGTCAGTGGAGGTTCTATAATATAAGCAGCGATGTTTTACTAAAAAAAGTATTTATCGAGCTCAAATGGTTTGGGATTAAGACCCTCGCATTTTCGACGTATTTATTTTCTTGGGAATACAGGCAATTTGTTAAAAAATATGCACATTGTAAGTAATACAGTGTCATGGGCACCCCCAGCTATCATGAACAAAAATGATGCCATAATACTATGATGGAATCAAGTATTAGTCATATTTTTCACACATAACGCAGTATAAATACTTTCAAACAACATACTACAGCATTTAAGAACGACAATAATAATAATCAATATAAGACAGCTAATATATACGAAAAAAATTAAAGAAATACAATGAATGCTTTTCCAACTGATTTTTATCCATATTTACCTGCTGCCATTTAACTGATGTTCGAAAGACGAATCGTTTTCCAACAGCTCCGTAGGACTTGAGTCATCGCCTTTGGCCTTGTATTTGGCTTGCCTGATAACAACCAACCGTTGACGGGCCTCTTCTAACTCACGTTCAATCCTCAATACTTCTGATCTGTTCAAATGCAGACAAACACACATATTATTATAAATGAATTTTGTGCAATGGTGTGAGTTAGAATGGATGATGAAATTCACGATCAAGTGACTTACCTAGCATTAATTTCTTGTGCGATTCCTCCCACCATCCGTTTGCTAAGAACCAGACTTCGTTCTTCGTCGTTCTGAATGGCCTGTTGGGCCGCTTTAACTAGGTTGTCTGTAGCACGTTTCACAGCATTTCCGGCCGCCTAAGTAAAAATGACAGATAAGTTAGAATGAACAAATGTCATCAGCCAAGATGTGTACACATATCATTCTTAAGAAGATGTTTCACTGCCATCTTTTAAGAGATTTAATAAAAAAAAAATCAATTTAAAGTATTTCATAGGTGGTAGTCATGTCATTAAAGTTGCTAGATTTTCCAGAATTACAAAATTAAATAGAAAATACATTCTCAATATTCTATCACAGATTGTTGGTTATTACTGCTTCATGTAAAATTTTAAAGTTACAACATTAGTTATACTCACATTCATATGAGATTAAATATTAGAGGAAATTATAAATATTTTTTTGAATACATTTAGTAATTACTTTTAAATTTAAGGTAAACGGAAAACTGGTACAGTCTTTATAAATGCAGAATGCTGGTACAAACATCAATAGTCAACGTTTCTTAAACTTTTATGAAAAAAAAAAAAGACTAAAATATGGGAACCACTTCGTGAGTCAAAATAATCACAATTTACGTTTGAATACATCCCAATATTAAATAATTAGGGTACAATAAGGTTAAGATAAAAATCTATTAATTAATAAATATCATGAACTATATACACCATGTTCTCACTAGTACATCACTCGCAATAGTGGATTGAGTACGTAATATTTTTCACTTAAAACAAAATTTATACCTAATACATGTCATGTCATATAATGGACAATTTTGAAAGTCAGACTTAAGACGCAATGAGTTAATAATAAATGATAAATATTCTTATGAGGTTTTGAGGAAGAATTAAAATTCTATAATGTGGAAATGCACACAAAACACAAGTTTTAAATGCCCGGTAAAAGTAACAACCATTTGATCAAACCAGTAAGTTTTTAGCATTATTTTATTAAAATATATTTATATAATGTATTTATGGAACTAACATAAGTTCCAGTACATAAATTATTCATTAAAACTCCCCATAATATATGGAGTACATAATAATACACCAGTTAACAACAAAATAGAGGAAATAATTGTTGTTAATAAAAAGAAAAATCTTTAGGAAAACAAGAAACCTCGAATCAAATGGTTTTGTCTATCGTGCACAACATTCTAGGTTAGATAGTAAATTTTAATAAATGTATCATTTAAAAATATATTATATCTCGTTTTATGATTGTATATGTACAGAGGATACAGATTTAGCAGTTGGACATTTTTCTTCATTAAAACGAAAAATTTGAAATTACCAGCAGACATTTAATTAGAGATACAATAAATTTCGATTTCAATAAGAATGGAGAGCCAAAATTGGGGCTGAACCTCGGTCATTCATAAAATTCGACAGTAAGCAACATGATTCAAGAATATTGATATTTGCTTCTTACTTTGCCATAAATATTCTATAAACATCTGAATGTTGGTTTATGGATCAAGTGTTCATCTGATATTTTTTATCAACTTTATGTGATATGAGGAGAATATAAAAATAAAGTTTTCACTTTTGTACATGCATTTTTATCAAAGAAGTCAAAAAAATTGTATACAACTGTTCTACAACAAGTTATTATTAAATGCGTTCAAATTTCTCGTCATCCTAAACCAAAATAAGTAATGATGGCTTTCAAAATTGATGCCGAGTGCAGCAAATGATTTGTTTGGTGATAGAGTGCAAGTCGAAAGGAGTTTTTTCATGTATGTCAATCTACATGGCAAAAAGCTCAACAGTTAAGTTTATGTTAATTATATAGAAATTACATAGATTTTAGAATAAGTTACGTTATGATTGACGCTTTATCATTTTTACGACTTAATGAAGTAATGGATGGAATAGTTTATTTATAACAACAACACCTGTACAATTTTTACCATTACTAAAATATTTTGACGAAACTTATGTTAGCGGCAAGTCTGGGAGCCCAATATTTTCTCCACAGTTATGGAATGTACAAGATATCACTTTAAATAATGGCAACAAAACAAACAATCTTTGTGAAGAGTGGAATAGCTATTTCAATAAACTTGTAGGTAAAAATAATCCATCATTTTGGTTAGTAATTAAGTGTATTCTACAAGATGAAGTGCCAATGCTGATTGAAAGAACCCGTTTTTAATCAAATATACACGAAACCTTAAAGCCTATAAGTTCAAATAAAAAAAATAAATACTTTACAAGACAAACTACACAACAAATGTGAGGGCTACTTAAATAAAGAGATAAATTATAAATAATAATAAATGTATGAAATAGTATTATTATTTATAAATTATATTTATTTATTGTATATTTTATATTTATTTTACCTACCTGCTACTTTTTATGTATTTGTACTTATTTTATGTTAATTTTGATTAGTACTATTTTGTTTTAAACATATTATTTAAATTTAACTAGATGTCAAATGGTGATTTATTAAACTATGTTAAAATTGTAAATATTTTAATTACATTTTGAAGGGTATTAGCATTCCAAATATTTTTTTGTTTTGTTATAAATTTTATGGACTATATCAATATTCAGACTATCAAAATTTAAAGTATAAAATCATTTTTTTCAAACAGGCAACAGACTATAATTTTATAGTTTTTTGCTCTGCACTATTTTGAAACACAAATACATTGTTATTCTCGAAAAAATTGTTAACTTTACATTATGCAAATTGTGTTATTTTTTATTAAACACTAATCTCGAATGTTCTTTGAAAGCTAAAAAAAATAGAGGTAAAACAGATTAAGAAATTAATGTCAGTTTTATTTACCAATAATCTCTTTGTGGATGCACTGTCGGGGTCAGCTTTAACTTTACAAGACACTAGCAACTGGGCTGTTGACGAAGCCACTTGTTTTGCTGATGATATTAGCTTTTCTTCGCTCGATATCCCTTGCACTAAGGCATTTGCTGATTCCACTAAACTGTGGGTAGCAGCGGCCACTAATCGGGAAGCTGATATCAGGCCTTCTGACCATTGACCATCATCAGAACTGGTTAAAGGCCTGCGACTGACCTGTTTGGATGAAGTGCCCTCGTTATAATTGTTTGTTGTATATATACCGTATGTCCGCGAAAACTGGGTACACACTATAACTCAGTTACCTACATTACTCAGTACCCTATATATATTTTAGAATTCTGTCAGCGGGAGACGGTCCAATAGTCTAGTTTCATGTTCAACAAACAGAATTCAAAAATATGTATAGCGTACTGAGTAATATGGTTACTTAATTATACAGTATATTCTGTTTTAGCGGACACACGGAATGTATAATATGTAAATATTTACATTAATGTTATTATTTTCTTTACCCTCCCTTCCTAGGTATATTATGTAAGTATCTTACTTTTCCAGAATCGATTAGTTCACGTTGTGCAGCCGATGCTGCTTTCACTAGTGCCGATGTGGCAGCGGCAATGGATTTAGCTGCTTCCAAAATAACTTCATCAAAATTCCATGAGGCATCTGCAGCTTCCTGAACAAACATAAACCATAAAATATATATTGTTATAAAATAATTTATTACATAAGTTTAGAATTTTAGTATGCATAATATAAAGAGTTGATGCTTTTTAAATATAATAAATTTTCAATAATATTACCACATTGACTGATTTCCTGGGACGTAAACTGGCGAGTTTTTTTGCAGCAGCGTCAATAGATTCTGCAGCACCCAACAATTCGTTCTCCGCAATTATAGTAGGATCTTCAGGACTGACCCAATCATTACCTAAACAATTTCAAATATTTTATAACATTATATTAAAGAGTAAAATAGTTCAATTTAAATTGAATATTACCTTTGATAGTTTCAGTTACAGATATCAATTCTGTGACATATTGTGCGATCATACGGGAAATCGTTTGTAACATATGCTTGGAATCAGAACTTAAATTTGGTTTAGATATTATAAACAATACAGTCTGCAACAACTTTCTGTATTCTTGGGAGATGTTGTACCCAGCTTGTAATGTTCTTTCTCTCAAATCAGCATTTTCAATAGTATTACTGCATCCCTGAATGCCACATAATATATATAAAAAAAATATACCAATAATGATTCTAAAAATCTTAACGGCAATTTCATTACCCTGCAGACAGTCAACAAATCGGATATAGCTTTACGTCCCATGTTCGCTGCAACAATAACATCTTCTTGTTTACCACTGTTACCGGCTGAGACAGCTTTTGCTGTAGCCATTGTAATCGGTTTTGTACAACGTATCAACTCTTCTACAGTAGCTGTTGATTTGAATGTTTCAGTTGAGCTTAAAGCCTAAAATTTGATTATATTTAATAGTAAGACAAAGTTAGTTAATGCAGAGCAAAACATTTTTGAAAATTTCAATTTAATTAAAAATTAATGTGTTTATAGTTCAAAAAGTTAGAATATTTTTTTTTCTGCACATTCACAAATATCAAAATTACACTTTGCACAACATTTTACTGTAAGCTCTCATAACAATTTATTTTAAATTAAAATATCTAGTGATATCAATATTATTTACAAAACTCGTTTAAACATGATATTTCAGGGGTGTGGATAGATAACTTTTTAAACTATAAATCATGTTATTTTCTGGTTAGATACAAATGTATTAACATTATTTCTTTTTTTTGAAACGTTGTAATTATATTCTTCTTTTACTTTAAAATTATTAAATTTACCCGAATTTCTTGGCCAATTACTTCAATAGTTGATTCAAGGGCTCTTGTACCACGTGTGTGTTCGTCTTCAACCGCCTTTACAGTTTTTAAAAGGGAAGTTACATTTGTAACCATTACCTGAAAATATATAAATGGGGCATTTTATTAGGTTAAATATTCTCAATTGGTATTAATATTTAATTTTGTCAATTTACTTTGGCACTTTCTTTTAGTTCATTCATTGATGGATCATTGATATTTTTCCCGGAAGCAGCTTTTGTTGCTTGAATTAGATCCCCTAATGCAGTGGCTACATCTTTCACAGCGTTGATTAACATAACCTATTAAAGTAAGAATTATGACAAATAAGATTTAATTTTTTAATAATACTACAATATAAGTATACATATATATATCAATAAAATTATAAATAACAAAATATCAACCACTTTTAAGTTAACTCCTCATCTAACCAATATGGGTTCCAGTCACAACAGTCAACTAGTACGAATTTATTAGGTTTTTACTCTGATTTAATATCTACAGTTGAGAGTGGTGGCTAAGTTGACGCTGTTTATACGGATCATAAAAAAACTTTTGATACAGTTAGTATTAAAATATTATTATATAAACTTAAATGAATGGTAACATGGTACTTTTATTAAGTTGGTTGGAGACCTACTAGACCTACTACCCAGACGACAACAGGTAAAAATTAATAATATTCTATGTGATACTATTGACTCACCTCTGGTAATGCCTCAAGGAGATAATTTATCTCCACTATATTTTTATTATTTTGTTAATAATTCAGATACAAATTTTAATTATTAAAAATATTTGCTGTTTGCCGATGATTTAAAATTGTATAATTCAATTAATATAATAATTAACATTAATTAATATATTAATAATATTAAATACACCTAATAAATGTTTAGAGATACACGAAGACTTAGATCGCTTTTCTAAATGGTGTAAAATGAACAAGTTAAACATAAATATTAATAAATGTCAACATTTATGTTTCTCACGTCTTACTAATCTAATAAGATTTTGTTATAAGATACATAATGTATCCTTGAATGTAGTTTCATCTGTAAAAGACTAGGGTGTTTGCCGTTTGGCTATCTAGTGACTTATCATTTAAATTGCACTTGCACAATTTAAATTACACATATTACACAAAATTCGATAATCCCACTTGTATTTAAGTGCTGTATTGTTCATTAATAAGTTCCATTCTGAAATAATGTTGTGTAGTATGCAACCCATTTACTGGTATTACAGTAAATAAACTTGAAAGTATTCAAAATCGCTTTATAAAATGTTTAGCTCTTAAATTAAGATTACTTATTAGTTATTAATTATCTTTCTAATGTTGCTAAACAATGGGGTCTTGATCCGTTTTTTAAACACCAATTATTTAATGATATTTATTATATATATTAACTTATTAATAATCAAACATGTTTAAATTTGTTGCTCTACTCTGTCATAATAATCAAATTGAATTTCCCAATTTATGAGCTAAAATTAAATTTAAGGTACATACATTCAACTCTTGAAATCACTTATTATTTCATACAACTGCCACTGCCGGAATTACAGTTATTATAGCTCGTTAAACCCTATATGTATGTTCTGTAATAACTTTACTTTTTTATAATTCACCATGTTTATTATATTCTTTATAAGCTAATTAATGTAAGTATATTCTGTAACTTTTGATCATCTTGGGAGTAATTAATAAAATAAATAAATGAGCCATCTTTAAAATTTAAAAATGTGATAAAAATATATACATTTGAACTTAATCCCTGATTCACTGATCATAAGTTGAAGTAACTATAAATATTGGTTCAATACAGTATTCAAAAGTAATATTTCAGATGAGCAAAACAATTAGATATATCATATTATAAACACACACCTGAGCTCTGGGTTGTTAGCTCCCAAAGAAGCTGCACCAAACTTGACTACATCAGCCAATTGTATTATAGTAGAAACAGCATTTTGAGCGGCAACTGCTAGCTGTTCCTGTGAGGAAGCCGCACCTAAACACATTTCCAATTATAACTACATAAAATTATACATAAATACATAATATTTTTAAGTTGTTAGTTATTAATTGAATTTAATGAATAATAATTTCACCAACTATTAAAAGATTACAAGACTCTATAGATATTGAATGGTTACACTTCAAAAGCAATTATAACAATCCATTCTTTACATACATAACAAGGATCATGATTAAAAATATCCTTTAATGCAAGTTAATAAATACTTAAGTTATAAGTCAAAAATTTAATACTTCAGTAAAATTTAAATTTAAATAAGAAATATTATGTAAACTTTTTTTCTTGTATAATGATTCAGTTTAAAAAATTTAAGGTTTTTTATAAACTCCCAATAGTAATACCTTCTAAGCAATAGTTCTAAACAATGTTATATTAAATAATATTAGTTTTGAGAAAAATGCATGTTGGTATTTTTTATGTTGAGAGGACGTTATGTTTTTTTTGTCTTACAAATCTAAAACATAGCAAATACTATATTGCCCGGCAAAGAACCAAGAAGGATACAGTAATAAGTAATAACTATAAGAAACAAATTTTTCACCACATAAAAAAGGGAACTTGAGCTGTGAATATCATTTTATTTTTTCAATATCGGAACTACAAAAAAGTTATTGAAGTTTGAAAAACACAAATTATAATGGATTGTGAAACAATAAGATTTTTTTCGTATAAGTGATCAAAAAAATAAAAAACGATATTTCACAGATGTTCTGAACTATATTATAGATCATTTTTTTGAGTCTTAACACTACAACCCCGAGTGGTTCCATCTATTTCAACAGTTTTTGCTATGTTGTACATTTTTGAGACTTGAGAAACACAAGAGAATGTAGCATCCTCAATATAGCTCTATATTGGTTATTCTATGTGAATAAGTATAAACATAGTATCAAACTTCAGAGTTTTTTTGATGAATAATACAATGAAATAATAATAAACAAGTTTTCACTTATTACAAGAATAAAAGTTTATTTTATATTTTCACTCAATGATATAAGCAGTGTATAGTTCTATTTACTAAGGAAAGAGCCATAAGTAAATTTCAGGATTTTCACTACAATTGGAAATATATTAACAAATAATAATCAAAACAACCAAAATTATTATTTTATCTTAACCTATGGGGAATAGCAAAATAATAAATATTCAAAATCAAAATGAAGATAACAATTTAGAAACTATTAATTTTCAAGGTCGTAAGTTCAGAAAAAATATAGAAATACACACATTTACGGCGTTTATGCTTAATAAATGTATGATACTACTCTTACTTAGTACTACTAATTTTTTTTTATTACTTAAGGCTTTTCTAAAGAATATAAATTGTGTTTATAAACTATAATATTAATATGTAAATTAAGGGGTATTTTTTCAACAAAAAATGTAAATTAGGAAATCTATCTGATGCCTGTCTAACTATTTATTATTACTTTTTTTTTTTTTTGAGTCACGGCACTTGATTTGCATGGCAGAATATTGGTAATCAGTCAGGTATCTTTAAGTACAAAGCCAGATTCACAGCTACGTTGTGTGACGTGTCATGCGAGGATGGGTATCCTATATGGTTACAACTGGTAACCAGGTAACCATAATGGTTTAACAGTTGAGATGTAGCCAATTCTTGGGATACTCAATTGCAACTTGGTTATTACATGATACTAACCAAGTAACGTCCAATCACAATATGATTTGATCGACTCCACACGAAACACGACATAGCTGTGAATGTCTCTAAACAAAATTAATACTAACCAGTAACCAACGTTTTAGTGTCTTCTACTAATGCTTTAGCAGTCTTTAAAATATTTTCTCGGTGGTCAGAAAACGTTTCATTTTCATTTTCAGCATGGAGTGTTCCAGCAGTGGCAAAGAGTATTGTGTATCTAATCACCAATAATACCAGATTACTGTAACTAGCTGCATTTACACACGCTTGAGTACCAGCGAGTTGCCACTAGATGACATTTTTGCAATATCTATTTGTACAGATTATTTGGTTAATTGTCTATGAAAACAAAACAGAAGTTAACTAATATTAGCAATAAGTAACATACCTGCTGCTTTTCAATTTCGGTCATGGTGTTTGGCAACTGGTAATCGTGTGTCGACTTATGATATCCATAATTTTGATTATTTATGTTTGTATCATGGTTATACTCATAGCGTTTTGTCAATGTTGAGATATCTAACAAGTTGTCACCTGTCATAACCACTTGTAATGTATCAAATATACTATAAAAAAGCTCTAATAAAGAATAATATATTTTGTATCTAACTTACTAGAATTCATTGATGAATTGGTCTGATCTATGAAACCAGTATCGTTGGATGACTTTGAATACTCTGACTTGAAAGTTTTCTCCGTGTTGAACCTCTTTTCTTTGAAACAGGAGATGTGCATACATCTACCAAGTTACTCAGACTTTCTCCAACAGCTCTATATAATTATTAGAAATCAAATATTTAACCTTGTTATATCTATGGGTAATTTGTATAAACAATTTCTAAGACAATAGATATTTACCTAGATGCGCTTGTAATCTATTAGAGTAATTGGTTAATGTAGTGGTACTTTATATGCTGCATCCGAAAGTTCTTGTAATAAATGTTCATTATTTTCATGCTGTGTTAAATTACACACAGAAACTAGGTCTTCTACTGCATTAACCACTTCTCTAGCTGCAGCCATTAACTGTTCTTTGCAACTTGGATTTTCCACAGTACCAGCAACAACCTAAGCAATCAACCAAATTATTTTGAAATATAAATAAAAAAAAAATAAGTATGTAAAATGTTAGGAGGAACATACTTTTGTACAGGCTACTAGCTGTGAAGTTGTAAGTGCACATGTAGTTGCAGCACTAATAAACATTTGACTGAGTGTTGTGGTTCAACATTTGCGGCGACATTTTTAGCTTTAAAACAACTAGAGCGGCTGTTGTATGAGCTACCGCTTTAGCCAAACTCAATAAAATGTCACGAGATTCATCAGCTCCATCATCACCAATCTGTGTTAATACTTGTTGAGAAGCTTCACCAACTTTACTAGCAGCGTTTAGTAAATTCTGACGTCCCTAAAATATTCATTAAGATATTAAATTCACAATGCTAGATGTACTTGCCGAAACCTCCATACAGTGTTTGAATCAGGTTGAACCGCTTTCAAAAGATCAGTAAAGCAGAACAGAATTTACGAGCTGCATCTAACAAATGATCACCAGTAGGAGTTAGTGCAGCTAAAACGCGTACACCCTGACTCATTTCAGGTAAATTTGTAGTAATAGATGTAAGCGTTTGCAACACGAGAATAGTCAATATCTCCTGAAATTTTTTTTAAAAAACCAGTTATTTTAGTAAAATTGACAAAAAAAAAGTGATAATTACCAGAAGTCAAAGTGACTACTTGAGCTGTAGCGGCATTCATGGCTGCAATTTGGGAGCTGATGTTTTGTTTATTTGAATCTATTGTATCTCGTTCAGTTTGTTGAAGCCTGTGAACATTACATTAATTTTTTCATAATATCGAACAAAATAACAGAGATTATTACTTACTGCATCGTTGCCAAATTCGGGAATAACAGCTTTTGATATCAATTCGTTTTTTCATAGTAGTTATAATTTCTTGACTATTTGATATAGTCATGCACAATGCTTTTTGTGGCGCACTCAATAACCTTAATTTGGTTATTTTGTGGTCCCTAGAAAACACATGACACACATTGTTTTATAATTGTTAAATGTCAGCTTAACATTAAGTAACACAAATCAAACATACCACTGATGGTGTAGGTGTACATTTATTCGCCCACTGACTGTTGTGTACTGAGCATTTCCCATGTGTCCTAGTCCATATGGACGAGCACCTATACATAAAATGAATTATTGAAAATAATAATTAAAATGAATAGCAATAAACAAAACTATTTTACACATTTATAATGCATATACAACACATAATTAATAATAGTAAGCTAATAATGATACAATTTACTACTCTTCTTGGTAAGTAAAATATTTATATAATCAACAATAGTAAAATAGTTAACCTGACATAAAAAAAAATGTATTCAATAAATTATTATATATAAAATATATTAACTCTTCATATATACAAAATATACACTTATAAGCTGAACTATTAGACTTAACAAATGAAAATCAATCATTTTATTGTATACATAAATATAATTATTGAACTATTTAAGAGGACGCAACCTATACATTTGTTGTCTCAGTCTTACACACGCACGACATAGCAAATTGTAAATCACTACTTCAATAGTGTGCTATTAGTTTTTATACATAGAAGTTAATTGACCTATTATAAACTTTTAGGCAAGAACATTATCTGTGCATAAGCGTTATCGATTTTTCGAAATATTAATTTTCAAGCAAGATAATAGGTATGTGAAATATCAAACATATATACATGCTCATCTCGATTGAAAATTAAAATATTGAATAAAAGTAAACGCTTAAGTACATATAATTTTATAATCTAAAAAATTTATAATAGGTAAAATCACTCCAATATCAAAACTTACAGCACACTATTGAAACTAAAGAAAAAAGATTGTAGAGTCGTACATGATGTGTAAGGACGAAGACAACAATGAATGGGTAGCATCCTCTTAAATGCATACCAAAAATTTTGAGTAACAAATTATGTGAAGGGACCTCGCGAATATTGTATTTTAAGAAGATGTCAGTGCTCCATTTTTTTTCTCTTTCTGACCTACGCACAGAGCAACATAGTAAAAGTATGTTTAGTAGAACCAACCTTATGTTGTTACTTTTAATATTAAAGTGAATTCACTTATTATCTAACTTTAAATTAAGAACATAACATGTGTCGCTAAGTTTGCTTTTTTACAATATTTTAATTTCTATGCAATTTATAAGCATTTTAAATTTTAATAATTGACATGATCATAACTTACATAAAAATAAAAATATCATAAAATAGGCAACATAGCAACACAGGTTATGTTCTTAACTTAATGTTTCATGATAGGTGAATTCACTTTAATACCAAAAATAACATAGAGAACCAACTAAACTTAAAATTTCTATGTTATGCTATGACATCCTCTTAAGTCAAAAACTACTCAACCTAATTCCAATAGTACATTACCCTGATTTTATTTTTAAAAATAATTCAAACTGTATGACCAAGCTATATTTTTTTGTTCTTTCTTTAATTTGTAATAAATCTTATGTAAAAATTTCAAGCTAAAATATTTAATTATATAAAAAAAAGTTTAACTGTGCTTTGGTCATTCCCTTGATATTTTTTTAGTAAGAATTTTGATTTAATATTGAAATTGTAATTGTCTATTAGAGTGAAAATTCAAATATTTTTTTTTGTGGTCAGAAAAGATTATTGTACGTTTACTATACCCATATTAAAGAGAAATGGCCATTTACGACTAACATAACTATAAGACCGACGGCCAAATGCATATAACGTTTCTTCTTAAATGGTCTATACTCTATAGAATTTAGTAAACGCGAGGCCTCTTAAGATTATACAATATAACACTTAGTTACTTTGATTAAAAGCATTTTCACATAGGAATTTGTATTCCCAAAGCTTATTATAAAATATACAATAATAAATAAACTATTGAGGTTAAACTTACAATCACAAGATCACAACATAAATAAAAATTCAAAATTGATTAATTAACTATTAAGTACTAATCATGCACTAATTTGGTTTAAATAACAAAAAAATCATGCATTTGGTTACACCTCAGGCATTGCTACTTAATGAACTTCGAATTCGCTAAAAACTTCATTCAACTCGAGTGACGAGTATACAGTATGTTTCCTTATTACTCAATCTTTATCAATTATATTTTTATGTAATTATAGTTGTTTAACTTTTTTTACAATTGCTTATACGTGTGAAAAGTCTCAACATAAAAATATCCATTAGTATAATAGATCTTACATTTTTGAAACATACTGTTTTGATTAACTAGTTTTATGTATTTGTGAATATTACTAGTTATAATATTACAATTATAAGACATAGTATTCACACAAAACTACAAATATATATATATATACTATGCAATGGATGAATAACAATCAACAACTTATGAAAAAAATAATTCTGAAGAAACCTACAAGAGTATAATGATCACATAACAATGTACAACTGAAGAGGGCAAATGAATAACAATGAGGAAATGGTAAAATACATTCATTGATTGATGATCAATCAATATTACCTTTAAAGCTCCAGATTGTCTGCATCACGGTGTATTTTTTTAACACGATGACATGAATTCTATATTCTTTATATTCCTGAATAAAACAGTTTTTTTTTCTAAATTGTATTTAATGTTATGAAAATAGTATATATTGTATCTCATGTTATAAAACCAAAGTTTTGAACAATGTAAGTACCTACTATTTTTTTAAGTAAATAAAGTACAGCATGTTTATTAAAAATTTTCTCATTTTTCTTCTGTTGTACGATTTTTTTGGTGGTTTTTAGAGTTACACCATTTAATAATCGTGCAGATAAACTAAACACGCAATTACTTATGTGTCTATATAGACAGTACTTCAATAATAATTAATCAGTAACATATTTAAGAATAAATTCTAATAAGCTAATAAATCTGCAAAAAAAAAAATTAATTACCTATGATGAAAGTTAAATACTTCAAACAATTAATAATATAGAATTTTTACTTGTATAGTAATATAAATATAATAAAAAGAGTACAATCATTAAAATACTTTTTATTGATGTAATAAATTTTAGCAATTAATAGAAGAAACATTTTGGGTAAAGATAGTTATTAACTTATAAATTATAAAAATTGCATAAATCAGTTACAGATCATTCAAAAAAGCTAATCATTGTAAACTCTATGGTAGAATGGTAGATAACTCTTGTGTATATTATATATCTACTGTGATTATAATTAAATGCATTACTCAAATTAAATAACAAATATAAGGATATACATATTACATATAATAAGAAGTGCATTAACTATTTAAATTGGGCACAATAGTTTTCGGGATTTTAAAATTGTAGTGGAAAAAATATAATGAAAATGGAAGTGACATTATTTTTAAAATGTTACTGTTGAAATAGTTATTTAATTTTTTTTATCATTAGCAAACCATTAAAAGTGGGTATTTATATTTAATTAATTCTAAAAATTGAAAAACTCATTAATCTATAATTACATAAGAAATAATATTATATTAAATATATAAAATTAATTAATTTAAATTATAATCATGGCTAAATAAACTATATAACATTTAAAATGTAAATCTAAACGTTACTTGTAGGCATGAATTTTTACATAATCATACCTAAACATAAACGTGAGAAAAATACAGTCCAAACCATTATAAAAGAATTTAATTATTGCCTAATCATACAGTTATTTTTACACTTAATATTTTAGGTACACTCTGAATCAACAGCCCAAAATGTGTTGTTTATTAAATATTAGCATTTTTATAACACCCTAGTTTATCATCAACAATTGACAACAAAATATCATATACAACACAGAAAATATTTTCACTTATATCATCTTGTTATATTATATTATACAACTATATCAATAATCAAATAATTATTTTTTATTATTATGATATTATTTACAAAAAATACATTTTTATCTACATAAAATCAAAATTTTTGTTATCATAAATTTAAATTTTAAATTTTCATCAATAAACAATTTTTAAATTAAATTATATCGCCTGTACATTTAGCACTAAATATAACAGTATAACTCATAAATTAAATTAAATTTAGCTAAATAGAAGTTAAATTATATCTACTATATGTATTAAGAATAAAGCAAAGTTTATTTGAATAATTATAATCATTAAAATATAAGCGAGCATGTTTAGTCTAAAATATCAGACATTTATTAATGAAAAAATTTCATATATTAGGTGTTAGTTAAAAACTATAGACATGAGTTAATATATTATTTTTCACAAATCTTTGTTATATTACATTTATATTGTTTGCAAATTTATGAAACTAGTATAATATTCATGAAAAGCATAATAAAAGCTTATATAAACTATTTATAAGCTTCTACAAAATGTTTGGATTATGATTATTAACATTATTCCTGGTGCAAATAAAGTTATATTTTATCTCTAAAATAGAATATCAAAATTAATTTACCTTCAGCTCCAGCTCTCATTACTGCAGGCTTTGCCACTGATTCAGTGTTTACTTTTCCAAACTGACTACTTTCGTGTTGTAAAATTGTAGCCCTAGAAAAAAATGGTTTTTACATTATTAAATTTAAAGAAGAAATTGAATTTAATTATTTAATTAAGTTTAAATTTAAAACTTCTTATTTTGAGTAAATTATAAAATAATTATTCTAATAATTAGACATAGGCTTACTTAAGCGGTGAAATACTATCTTCTACCATTGTTGAACCTTCATCTCCTTCAATACCAAAATGATCTTTAGACTTTTTCTGTAAATAACAAAATACAAATAAATAATTTTTTCACTATACAATAATCATAATGTATTCACTTTTTTCAGAATGATGTCAATATAACCAGAAATTAATTGAAGTATTTGTTCAGCTTCAGTAGTTTGTACTGAATAATATTGATCTGAATAATCCCCAAAGTCTAATGTAAATGTATTTGGAGAAGCTCCCCATCTTCTTACTGTTGTTAGAGGCCAAGTTTTTAATATTTCTTTGGTTCTTTCATCCAAGCGTAAAACTGAATCCTTTGTCACTCCCAAAAGACGAGGAACTAATTTATTTTTTCCTTTCATTTTTTCCTAAGAACAAAATTTAATTTTTAAGAAAATATAACTAATATTATATTTAATTAAGTAGTAAAATTAAAATAAAGATTATAACATACTTTAACTAAGAAAAATGTTACTCCATAAGTGGGTAATGATCTTGCAGTTTTTGTATAAAGAACTTTTGCATCCAATTCAGATAAACCTACGTGATTTTTGTGCTCAGAAAATATTTTTTTTTCAATACCTTTTATTTTTGTGTATGATTGAGGTAAAAATTCCTTTAGACTAAAAAAATAAACATGTTTATTTTTATTTTATCAATTGATATAAATTATAAACTATACTCTAAAAATGGGGGACGGTGTTTGGTTTCACAGTAATTTCCAAATTGAATATGTGTTTGAATACCAGCAAGCTGTAAAGCAAGGTCTTCTGTAACTGGGTGTGTTCCATCTAAAATTGCGTCTCTTGCCTATGAATTAGAAAACAAAACAAGAACAATTTATAGATCTAAAGTAACTGAAATAATATATAATGAAGTCAATTACCTGAACATATAATAAATTCAATTGTACTGGGTCATGGGAATCTATGTTTCCGTCAGAAAAGAAAAATTTCCTTCTTAATAATACAGGCTCACCCTCATCAATGCCTTGTTCTCTAAGAGTTTTAGATGGATCAACCCAGTTGACTGAAATAATAATAATAATAATATAATAACTATTTACATTTTAGATAGTATTCAAATACCTAGTATAAACAAAGGGTTATAAATTATTTATACAAATAGCAATAATAAGTGTAAATTAGACAACTATACTTTAGTATTAAACATTATAATGTATTAAATATAAATTAATATTACCTTCATCATCTGTTTTCAATTTTTTTCTTAATTGTTCCATTTTAGCATCTTTTTCACGTTCTCGATCTTCTTTTCGTCTTTTTAATGTCAATGTTCCAAAATTAGCTTTATTTTCAACTTCTTCTTCTGGAGTTTCTCTCACAAGACTATATTCGTCATGGTTGGTAATTCCTTAATATACATAAATTCCATCATAGTATTATTGATATAAAATATACATTAATTAGCATTTATCAGACATAAAAAACTGTTAAGCTCATACCAATTTTTGTGCAAATTACCACCATTAGATTTGCTACTGGTTGACTGTCATCGACAAGAAGGGTTTTCAATGTTCCATCAAGCATATGCACTTTTAATGTTCTCATCTTTTTTCGATATTCCAACAAATCCTAAACCATTAAAAACAAAACCATAAATAACACAGAATTAGGTATATGAAGGAATTTCTTCTATCTATTATACATATAACATTCATTATAATTATTTATAAGTACAACTATATTCATTATAAATGCAGTTATTACATGGTAATGAATTAACAAACTGATAAATACTATATAAATGTTGTTACAAAAAGTTGCTCCTTTATTACAGGGTTGACTAAAAAAAGCCCGCCCATCTACAAAAAAACCCATCAACCAACCCAAAAAAACCGATTTTATTATTTAGAATTATAATCTAAAATGTTTTGAAATATTAAAAATTGTGTTCCTTTTTATAAACAAAAACATTAAATGGCAATTGCCAATTTGTCAATAGTAGTTATTGATAATTATATTGTACTATAGGTACTTAATTAAAAAATTATAACTCACCAATTATAACTCACCTATGTTCCAACTTCTAAGCATTTAAATTCTTACCTAATTAACTATTCAACCCTGATTTACTTAATGTTTAATAATAATTCGAAGAGATTCACAAGGAGGTTCATTTCAATTCCAAACAAATGTGTACCTAATTCATTTAAATCAGGAACTTTTTTAAACCTTTATCATCCTCAACAAGTCTTAAAAAATATTAAATTAAATATACAAATCTGAAATAAAATTTTATCTACATATTTTTTTGTTGATATTTTTACTTATATTAATCAAATTACTGTAAATTGCCTATATGAGACTATAATAAAAAAGCAAGATATAGCAGATGCAATTATGTATTAAGTCTATCTCTAATTAGTTGGACAGTATTTTATTTATTTTTATATATAATAAATTATAGGTATATTAAAAAATATCTAATGTGATCTAATGTGGTTACCAATATGAATGAAAACGACTATTTATAATGAAAGAATTAAAAAAGATATAAATAAATATTTTTTTTTCAAACTAATTAAAATAAATAAAAAAGCTATTCATTTGGTAAATACATTACTCAATTTATTCTATGTACTATGTAATCTATAAGCCACCTAATTGTATTCTGTAATAAACATCAAGATGCCCAATACAGGTACAGTTAAATTGATATGTTATAATCACCAGAGTTCTAGGGATAAATATTCAGCATGTATACACACATGTTCTAACAAACCATACCCTCTCCCACAATTAAAAAACCTACTAAAAATAACCACCCAGTGGCCTATGTTGCTGTGGGTTAATTAATAAAAAATAAAAATGAATTTAAAAAAAAACATGGTGTTATAAGTTTATGCGTACTTATTAGGTAATGGAGAAACAGTCAATAGAAGCAGGGATTTACTGTCACTATGAATGTGAGAATGAAGAATATAATGATTCTGAAAACAAATTGGTTTGAATTGGTTTTGAGGTTGAAATCCAATTCCTTCTATTTTTTATTTTTGTTGCTCTAGTGTAAGAAATATTGAATATAACAAATTAAAAGTATTATAAGGTATTACTTATAGAGATAAAATCAAAAATATGAGAAGTTGATCCCAAGTTAGTTTTTCAATATAGGTATTCAATCTGACTTTAGAATTCTTATCATTATAAATTTAAGTGATCAGAGCATTGGAAATAATAAATCTAACTTTATATTATATTGTGTGTGAGAGCAAATAACTAATTTCAATAATTTCATAATTTTTGTGTTATTAAATTTAAAACTAAAATATAAAGATATAAATATTTATTTATTATACAAATGTAATTATATATAGGTACATAATTATATTCTAGTTAGTAAAAATTCACTTGTTTCATTCACAAAATAATATTAAATTCAAGATAATTTTTCTTAGTAAACAAATAGTATTCAATAAAATAGTTATTAAGAAATATAGCTACTTAACTGACTTCATTGATTGCAAATTGTTTGATTCAATATGTATATTATATAACTTTATATAACATACTCACATGAAACTATTAGGTATCCTCTTTAATTATTTTTAAATTATTTTGAGAATAAAGAAAATAAACGTTAAATTAATATGAAGTTATATCCATTATTAGTACCTACCTATTAATAAGGTAGTCTTTAAAAAAGTAAAATTATGAATTTAATTAAATCTTTGAAAGTTTTTTCCGGTTTTTTCATTTATAGTTTGTAACATTCTTTTAATATTATCTAGTGAGCTGCGGTGCCGTAATTAAACCAATTAAAGCCTGAGTGCAAAAAAATTTGAAAGCCTTTTTAACCACCATGTCACCATAATAAATTATTAATGATTATTTGTTACTTATTTTCAAAGACTGTTGAAATGTATACAATAACATATAATAATATACATAATATTATGATGATCCGAAAATAAGAGCTAGAGAAAAAGTCCCCAAAAACATTCATTATTCTTTTAATAAAAACCTGAATAATAGGTACATTGATATAATTATAATAAAATAAAAGTCAATTTCAGTGGCGTACATATAACACTCACGAGTGGGGGAAGGGGGCTATAATGCTATATCATTTGATGTTCAAATTTCTGATAAGTTTGTTTTATAATGATTGTACTTAGTACTTACTGTTAAATTTCTGAATAATAAAATGAAAAGAATAAATTAGATTTTTGACGAACAAGAATAAAAGAAGTACTTTGGCCTGCTATTCCAATACCAGAAGAAAATTATCAAATAATTTGAAATACAATTATTCAAGAGGAACCAGGTAAATATTAATATATATCACCTAGGTACTAAAAATATGAAAATGATAAAAAATAAATTTATCTTTATATATTTTATTGAATTGTTTTATATGTATGTAGTAGCTTTGTAACTATACTAAATAATTACATGTATATATTATTTTGATTTATTGATATATATGTATATCATTTTGAATTAACCCTCTCCTGATTGTATACGCCACTGGTCATATAAATATCATATAATATTTCATATAATATGCATAGATAATAGGTACCTACAAAAATATACTTTTTTTATTATTAAAGTTTCTAAGTTTCAGTAGTGGTAATTATTAGGCTATTATTTTCCCTCCTACATATCGATTTAGATTAAAGGTGGTTAGAAGTGTGGATACTAATAATTATAATTGAAGGTCAAAAGTACTAAACGGAATTTTTGTAAAATTAAATTTTGTTCAAAGTTACATAATTAATGTAATTATATTTTCTCAAAAAGATAATAGTTATAGTCTTATTTCCGTGGCCAGTTTTACTTTGGTTTTTTTTCTATTGGACATAGGTAATTTTCAGGGAATTATTTTTTTACCATATTTTCAAGGACCTACTTTCCGTTTGTTTCCTATAATACTATCAACAAATAGTAGATTCTTGATGTAGGAATGAAGTATTTAAATATTCAAAAGAGTATTGGTTGTTAATAGATCCTATGAAGATAAGTACCTATATAAATTTGAATACCTAAGCTTAAGCTTTGAGACAATATCACTGTCACAGGAATAGGTACTGAATTTGGTTGTCATAAATATACAATTTATAAAACTATCAGGAAATAAAATTTATAGATCGTTACTAAAGGTGTATTCAACTAAATCTTGAATATCTAGGTCATTAGTTTAAGAAAATCATATTTTAAATTTGACAACAACAAATTCTTAAGGAAAAATTGATGATTAAAATCTGAACTTGCGTTGTCCTTAGAGGACGCCACACATGCATGTGTTGTCTCTGTCTTACAAGTGCGTAACATAGCAAATTTTAAGCTAAGCAGAAAACGAGGCAGAACATGTGTAAATCCGTTAGTTTAAAAATTAGAGTGAATTATCAAATTTAGAAGTAAAACTATTATCTAGTGAACCTCGTTGGGTTTTTTTTTATATTTTAATATTAAAACAAGGAATGAGTATTTTAAAATTGTAAATGTTTGTGCCTTTTAAAATATTCATAACTTGTTTTAAAATTCAAACACTATAGTCTGTTCAGAATGAGATCAGTACGGGCGGCCAAATAGTGCGCATGGGCATGGCTTTGTTACATGGTAACGCCTGATGCGTAGCCGTTGTGGGGACAGCGTCTGACTAATGACCATGTCTGACCGCCGCCCGACGAAAACTAGTCTCTGCCGTGTACCTATCTCATTCTAAACAGACTATAGGTAATATTCTTACTTCTAAATTTGATAATGTGTCTCTCTAGTTTTTAAACTAACGAAGCTACATGTGTTATGCTGAGAGTACAATTTGCTATGTTACACACTTGTAAGACGAAGACAACACATGTGGGTGTGGAGTCCTTTTAATATTAATAAGATAATGAGACAATTTTATTATTTATCTAACTGAAATTGTAGTCAGGTTGTACATTTGTTATTTTAGTGACAATTTTAACTTATTTAATGTACTCATCTAAAACCATAAATGTTATAATTTAATTATATAAAATTAAGTTGTATTAATAAAAGAAAATTTATATTTTATATTAAAATAGAATACACAGAACAAAACTGCATACCAAAATAGGGACTATATTATATTTTTTTTTTAATTAAATCACCCAATTATGTATTTACATTTTAAGAATTACATAATAACTGATAAAAACAGTATACCTACTTAACAATACTTAATTGAAAAATAAGAATTGACTCACCCCATTTCTCAGAATATAATATTCTAAATTACGTCCAGGTTCCAGCCAAACTCCTTTCTTTATGTCTTCGTCAGCTAGAAACAATCCATAATCTTTTGCTGAAACAGTTAAAAAATAAATAAACAATTACTTCTCACAATAATGCATTTAAGTATTTTGAATTAGCACATCAAGTTATATTTAAAAAAAAAAACATAAAAGAAACATTTGTTTTATAATGCTGAGCAAACTAATATTTTATTAGGTAGTTACGTTAGGTTTATACATATTATACGCCAAGTACATTTCCTCATATAATTCATTAGCCATGCGTAATTGGGAAAATACGTTATGGGATAATTGTATAATCCAATCTCAAAAAAAAAATGTGTAAATATAATATCGTTGTGGCATTCATACTACAAGTATGGGTGGAGTCCAAATCAATGAATTTGACTGTAAACAAATTGTTATTTATTAATGATATTAGTTGATGTGTATATTTATACTTTTAAGTTGCATTTTATTATTAAGGCTAGAATTTTTATGGACTGAAGATTTTTGAGGCTTGAATAAAAATTAAATTATTTAAATTATTTACCTAATTATTATTTTTAAAAAAGAGCACCTACGTATAGGTATTTAATTTATTGTTGAGAGGTTCAATTGTATTTCTACTGTTTTAAGCATGTGTACAGTACACTTTTAGAATAGTAAGCTACACATAAAACTTGGTGTCTCTGTCTTGCATACATTTGTATGTTTAATTTTGTTAGGTAAAAATTATTTGACATATTTAATTGGTTGTTAGGTATTCCTATTGCACACAAATAATAAGATATAGGTAGAGGTAGGTACCTACCTACATAATTTACAATAAAATAAAATTTAATGATTTTTTTTTAAGCATTGAAAATCTACCTAGCCTTGGTTATATAACCAAAAACTAGCTACTAGTTTTATTTAAATTAATATAAAACAAATAAAATTAGTACCTACATAAATTAATATAGGTATACTCTGTTCAAAATGAGATGATGACTCGGCGGCGACCAGTTTTCGTCGGGCGGCGGTCAGACATATGGTCAGACGCTGTCCCCACTATGGCGACGCGTCGGGCGCTGCAATGGAACAAAGCCACGCCCATGCGCACAACTTGGCCGCCGAGTCATCATCTCATTTTGAACAGAGTATAGGTAGGTACATTACAAAAAATTGAGCAAAAAATTTTAATATAAACATAGGTAGGTACCTATTGGACTAAACTCAAGTGTTCGAATAGAAGAAAAAATAAGAGATTTAGGTAGGTAGTAAGTTATTCAACAAAATATTTAATTTCTATTCTTAGCTATACTCCAGAGCCGGGGTCTCCAACTTTTTTTAGTAGCCAGGCGAATCTGAGGTACATTTTGACATTGCGGGCCATAGTTGTTTGAGGAGAAATATTATTGTAATGAGATTGAATAAAGTAAAGAACCATTTAATTATATATTTCCCTATAATTTTACAAAGGCGAAATAATAATAACATTTTCTTTGCAATAACTTTGATAAATAGGTAAATAGGTAGGATCTAAGTTCTAAAGTGCAAGACTCCAAGATCAAAACATGACTGGGATCGGAGGCCGGTTCAGAGGATAGACACAGTTGGGGTAAGACCTACACAGCCAAACGATCTAACGGGGCACTTTAAGATAGGTACTTAACCCGTCGATGTTTATGATAACATATTAATACCCAATAGGTAGTACCTACCTACCTATTATAACGTAAACTTTGACGGTACTCACGTTGGTCTAGATTGGCTTCAGATATCTTGTCTCTGATCAGTCGGCATGCGTTGTACACCGATATGGTCGGATCGAATTGCATCGTTTTGGTGACATCTCGTTCGACGATGGATATCCTCAGAGATAGCGTCGCCATCTGAAAGCGCAAAACGTGCACGGTCGCAATTAGCTAAGACCTAACTGGGCACCCCGCGGATACCCGTGTCCCGTAAACCGGGTAGGTACGCACCGTGTAGTCCTCCGGCGTAGCAGGCTGCTACCCAATCGGGCAGGGTGTGCTGAGAGCGTTCGGGCGGCGGCGGCGGCGGCTGCGGCGACGCGTTGGCAGGCACCGTGTACTGGTTTGTGTGATCGCGATCACAAACGGACGATGAAAATAATATAATACTAAAAAGGTTTTTTCGCGGGCGAAAAAGCCAACGGCTGCGGCGATGACGAATCGATCAGGAATCCGTCGTTGTCGTAGTCATCGTCCGAGCAGCGGTCTCGGTGGCAGTAGTGGCAGCAACGACGATCGAACAGCGGCGGCGCATGATAACGAGTAACGACGGCGAACGAGAGCGATGACGACAGAGCAGATGGACGCGAGTGACGACTACGACGGCAGCGGCGGCGGCCCCGTTACCCCTCCTGCCAACCCGACCGACGGACCGGATCTCGAACGCACCGAAACGACCGTGCGGTGATAATACGACGGCTAGAGGAACGCGACAACGGCAACGGCGGCGGCGGCGACGGAACTGAATATCAGCTCGCGCGCGTATTATCACCGAAGTCGGGTACTCGGCACACCGCGAGCCGTTCCGCGCCGATCGCAACCAGCCACGTCCCGCACCGCTAGCAACGATACCCGACCTGTCACGGGCCGCCGTGCAGACCAGCGGCGTCTATTATTATTGTTGTTGCGCCGCCGCCGCTGTAGCTCTCGAGTGTTGTACCGACGACGCGGAAACGGAACATCTGTCGACGACGTCTTAGCGCGCCCAAAAATAGAACGCGTGGCCCCGGCCGGCGGAGGCCGTCTTTTCAATAACACACGTCGCCGCCGTATTATTATTATTATTTATGGGATGGCACGATTATTTGCACACGCAAACTATTACCCACTTGTACGCTGCTGATGTCACTGCTGTCGCCTACCCACGTCGGCGATCATCACTGTGTTGAATGAATAACCTTATGATAATAAAAAGTAGGTAGGTATATTCACGGTCTTAGATTATTATGGTTTGTTAAGTGAGCATCTGTATAATGTTTTGTATTCATTGAATTCCAATAAAAAATATCATGTCCAGTGGTTGAATTGTTGGAAAGTTATTGAAAACTTATAGGTAGGCTGTAGCCCGTAAGTAATGGTATAAAAGTTGCAAACAATCTCAAATTACGAATATAACGGTTACCCCAATACGTTTTTATCACAATCAAAATAGGTATTTGGTTATTACTTATTATTTATTGTTTAATATCGGGAAAACTAACCCTATTGGCTATTGGCTATTTATCACGATTTAAGATATATTCTACAGTTAGTAGGTAGTAGGTACTAGGTAGCAGGTTACTTATCTTGACTTAATAGTGAAAAGCTTGAGTATCAAAAATGTGTATTATTTTTTTTTTTTACTTTTTGGGCATTTAAAATAACCGTAGACAGCTACATATTTTTTTATTAGAATCAAGTCATAACCCATAACCATTGTCCTCCTAATGAACTATTAATTATCCATTAGATACTGTAACACAAATATCATTAAGAACAATGTTGACTTACCATGGTTGTTAAAATAACACAACATGCATTTTTTTAATATTAACATTGTATACGATTATATAGGTATGATTATAGACTATCTATAGACTATAGTGATTATACAAGTTAGGACTTACACCAAAATTAAAATTCGATGAAACTTTAAAATTTATAAAGTTTACAAATTATATAATAATAATGTTGAGTGCCGGTAGGTATTTAATCAAAGAGATATAAATTATCAATTGATGAAAATGTTCAAAATTACCAATTTGGAACTCCGTTTTCACTGTATATATCACTTATAATCATATCTAAGTATCTAACTATATGACTAAGTACTATTTTTATAGGTAGGTACATCATAGATATTCTGAGTGGGGCAAGAGGCCCAACAATTTGTTGTGTGACTTAAACACAGTAGGTAATAATAAATAATATTATTATTATAAAAAATTAATTGATAAATAAACTATAATATTGTGAAATGTGACCAAAATAATGTGCCGATTATCCGAAGTACCGACCTATCTTTAATTCATAAAAACTGTTCTATATGCATCTATAAGATATGACATTTTTATACAAGATCCCCTAAGTTTTTCTACATTTACCAAAAATAAAAAAGTTAACCGAAGAGTCAAATTAGTTTTTTAAGAGCGTTTGAATTTGGACGTTCACCCGTAAATTAACAAATTCTTAATCAATGATTTTTTTATTTTGTCGTTATTCAAAAACTATAAACTATTTAACTAACTAAACTATTAACCGTAGGTACTTGAAATTTTCATGAAATGTTTATTTCATGATAAGATTTTCAAAATATTCTGACTCATTTTGAGATATTTATAGATATTGAAATTTTTTTTAGATTCTGAGCGGAGCGAGGAAGCTAGTGGTTTTACGATGAAGTTTTTTTTATACCCTGTAACTGTATACAAATTTCTACCAGAGGAGTGCTTCGATTTCACATATAGTACCTTATCTTTTAGCAATTGGATCAAATGGATGCATAAAAGAAGAGAAGAAATAAACTCCATTTTTTACCGTAATTTGAGACCAAATTTTATAAAAATAGGCTAGCTAACTAAGACTTAAAAATTACAAAATAGGTACACCTGGGCACTAGTTAGGCTGTTATTTGTATAGATCCACTATTGTAATTTATATGCTTATTAAAGCTGACCCAGTGCCGTAACTCGTAGATGTACTAAAGATCATAAGAATTTCTGGTAATTCTCTGTACGAGGCATCTCTACGCCTATAGCTTATTTGGCTCACATTTCTTCCAAAAATGACAATTCCCAAACGGCTCCAGTTTTTAACTACACAAATTCCTTCACACTTCATACAGACTTAAGGACTTGGACTAAGTTGAATACCTGAATCGTGAATTAAATACTTATCAAAATTATAACCGTACATTGGTGTTATATATTATAAGTTATAACGATTCTAGGATTTAAGTGACAATATTATTTGATCGGTTTCTAACCGTTAAACTCTTAGAGTATAATTATTTGTAAAGGCTATTTTCGAACCATTCCCGACTCCTGTCGTTCCAAATCTGTCATATATAGCAGATACCCACAACCGATGTATAAACACCGAAGTTAAGCTGCAGCCTGCAGCTCCCAGCAGTAGGTCATTGAATAAGTGTTTTGTGTAATATAGTATTGGTAGGTAAGGGTCATTTCCCATTGAACTATACCTATTTAAAATATACAATTTAATCTATGAGACTATCTGACAATTAATAACTATATTAAGTATTAACACGGCGGCACGGTAACTATAGTACTTGTTAGTGATTATTATTTATTATACCAATCGTGGGCAGTGGCGATTAAAAGTCTTATGAGAGTTAAAAGGCGATACCAACGTAGCTGTATGTGCCGTGTAATAGTGATGATGTTAATTATAGATTTGTGGTATAATAGCTTAAATAAGTCAAAATATTTTTTAAAAAAATGTCAGTATAATGTATACAATATAGGAAATAATAATATATAGGTAGGAAGGCACCGGGCCTTACATTTGAAGAAAAATTTCATTTTACGTTATTATTACAATTAAAACGTTATTCAACTTTTGCGTTTATCGTTATTCAAATTAAACGTTTTATCTAAGTTTAGAGTTTATCGTTATTTAAAATAGTGTTGATACCTTAAAAATAATAACTAATACGGGTAGGTAATGGCCCAGATAAGGAAAATAATATAATTAATTCTTGGATTGTTTGTATGAAATAAATGTTTCCACGAAACCAATAGATTTTTAATTAAATAGATTTTAAAATATTAGGTTTTGCTTTTTTTTTTCGTTCAATGACATTCTATAAATGACGTTTTGCGTTAGTTTTCGTTTAATCATTGATCATATTCCATAAATTACGTTTTGCGTTATGTTTTGTTTAATGATATATTCTATAGGTATTTTGTTAACCGTTATGTTTTGTCTTGCGGTATTTAATTCTATTTGATTATCGCTTTCCGATATAATAACATTTACAATTTAAAAATCGTTTTTTGTCAACTATAACGTTATTATAACGTTTGCAAGCCCTGGTAGGCACTAATATAGGTACGTATAATGACAAAAAGTGTCAAGTCTCGACGGTTAATAATTTTCGAATTAAAACAAAATAATTGAAATAGTTTAGGAAATCGATATTTTTCGTTTAAATCTTAAATGCAGTGTAGCAAGTAGGTTTAACTGTATTCGAGTATCCTATAAATAATAACTAATAAGTATAATTCCTAATAATAATGGCAAAATGTATGAAAGTAGGATACATACCCGGATACAGAATTATCTGGGCCCTGAAGCAAATTGCATTTATCTTCACGCTCTTTTTAATAGTCCGCCCCTTTATCTACAAATGTATGTAAGAGCATGATATATAAATACACGATTTTGAATTGCCCTTGCACATAATCGTTTAGGTGGAACATTTTATATTTTAATATTATAGCCATTGTTCAGACGATCAATAATTATAATAATATTAGTTAAGATAATGAAATAATATACATATAATACAGCTTTAATGACGACAATTATTTAATCGAAAACAACTATATTAAGATTTCGTTTACATATTTAGAACTGGAAAAAAATAATGTCTACCTATTTTAGACTTATGAAATAAATAAACATGCAGTGTACGGTTACTCCGGTGTTTTGGCAAGCTCACTGCAGGCGAAAAATAAATAACTTAATACCGGAAACGGAACTTATAAATTTTCCTTGTAGTAATATTTTGTAATTTAACATAAAAATATGATCTATGATGATATATTAGGTATATGCAATAATGTCTAATATTTGTTTTACTTTAAATTTTAACCTAATTCTAAACTAAAATAAAGTTTAATTCAGTGTTATCACTTATTAGTGAAAATGTAAGTAATCAAATATATAATATTGAATTAAATCGTTATTTTTTAAAGAATTAAAACTATTTATTTTAGTTAACACTTAGAACATTGAAATAAGCTGTCTATTTTCACAGCTGTAAGCTTTGCGGATGCATAGGTACATATTAAACAATTACATTTAGGTGAAATGTGAAATCAAATAATTTTAAAACAAGTTCAATTAAATTAGGTATTTTAATTTTGACCTAAGACCACCTTAACCCTTAAGTACATTCCAGTACATTTCGATCCAACCAAAAAAAATATATGTATTATTTAATATATTTGCTAGAACCAGTGGCGTATATAGGGGGGAGGCCCCTAGGCCAGGGCCCATACTGAAATTGCAGGCTCAATTAAAGTATTTCATGTATATCTACATTCTACACTGCTTACAGTTTTTCACCATGATTAATTTAGCCAGTTGATTAAAATCGTTTTTGAGAAATCCACAAGGAAATGATTGTCAGGACTTGCTTTGGTGACTTTGATGTTAAATTCACAGTTAGATAACATAAAAAATATATATATATATATGAAATTGTCAATATTTTTTAAAAAGAATTAAAAAATTAATTTTACATAATTATAAAATTAAATTGCTCAATTTTTATTTATATATTGTATATGTCGTAATTATAACCACCCAGCTCCCTAAAATATGTATATATTGACAAAATTGGCCCATAGTGAAAATATTTTGTATATACGCCACTGATAAGAACCCCTGAACCTAAATCCATCAAATCGTAATGATATTGATATACGCTCCCCGCCTCACTTAGTTACTTCAAATCGTATGGTCTCTATGACTATAGCATATTATTAAGATCACTATTTTAGTGTCAAAATAATACATTCAAATATTAAAAATAATATAATCCATTATATAGGTAAGTAGGTAATAAGTTTATTATACTCAGTCGAAAAATGTCATTTTGAGATGTATACAGTGTACGCATGGACGCATGGTTAAAATAAAATTTTTTTAAATTAGCATATTTTCAGACATTATACTAATATCGCAGTCAATAGTCAACACAGTTGAATAATTAATTCTGCAGATATCAATAATAATTTCTCGTTAATGTTGTCGCGATATCGACCGACTGATGAGTGATCAGTGATGACTGACGCTTTCGTCAACATCAGTGGTAATATAAGCGACAACGGGTTTCGGTCAAGAAGAAATATTAATAATAATAATAATAATAATAATATGGATTAAAATTTCTAAAAAAAATTACCATCGGAATAAAATAATTAATAAATCTATACTGCTGAGTGCTGTTTACAATATTATTTTATTATTATTACAGTACCTATCTGAAGTATGTTAAAATTATTTTCTCTTGATCGAACATATAAACACGTAATATACGTAAATACACTATAATTATTCGTAATATTTAAATATTTATTAAAAATCGACGTTTTATTGGCACTGTTAATTTTTACCTAATATGTTGCGTATCCATAGGTGTGGCTGCGGTGTATTAGGGTAATGTGGCTGTATATTAAACTAAAAATAACTAGGTAGTAAGTAGGTACCTACTATACTAGTGTCTTATAGTAATATATTATAGGTACAGCCGGTACAGGTAAATTATAATCTGCATATTGGGAAAATTATTATCTGTCAAGCCTGCTGTAGGTACAATATATTATTCAACCTGAAAAACAATATTATGTTCTTTCTATTTCAAATAATATTTAACACATATAACTACTTCGTTTAAAAAGTGAATAATATTTTCAAGTTAAAAAAATTGTATATCATTAGAAAATGAATTTTTCATGATCAGCTATAGTGTACAAAAAATAAACAAACATGGTGCGTGATTCACTCGTATCATTTTTTAAAATCATTTCCTGTAATAAAATAAGTGTTGCTATTATTATGCAGCTATATGTTTTGGTTGCCATGAAATGCCATCTTTGGTGAACAACAGTCTGTCACCGATTTTCTGACCAATCGCTTCATAAAATTCAATCACGTTGGGCACGAGTTTATATGCAACACTGTAATTAAAAAAATACATATAAATAATACCACGTCAATAGTCGTTACTTATAAGTTATTCCAATTGAATTTTTTATTTCATAGTGTTTAACAACATAACTTATACTCAAGATATAGCAACTACTTGACTACAATTATTATTTGGTTTTATTTAATTTTCACAGTAGGTACCTATTATAGCATAAAAACAATTCCAGTCAATCGTTTATCACTTGAGGAATGATATGAATATATTATATTATTAGGTATATTTATATTAAGTTTTGTCGGTGGTTGTGACTTGTGAGTTAATAGTGTATACTTGTGAGTCCATAATCACCGTGACACATTTTCATCTATACCAGTTCTGAATTTATGAGTTTACTCTTATAGAACTATACAGCCTACAACAAATTATTTTTCAATTAATTTGGATAATGTTTTGGGCACTAAATTTGAGTACGACTAACAACTTACGACTTAAGCGTATACCTACATAACAACGATAAAACATATAATATACCTAAGTTTTATTTGCATGAACAAACCTATAATATAGTTGTAGATCAATATTATTATTGGATAATAACCTAGGTTTGAAACCGATTACCGGGTTTTAACGGAAACCGTTTACCATGACCAATTGTGGGTCTGGTAACCGCTTCCCGGTTTGTAAGTTTAAATTTTGAGTAGCGGTTAAAAAAAATTACCTGTCACCCCCAAGTTCAATTAAAGGTTAACGTGTTAGCATTATATTATATATATATAGCATATAATATTCAAAATATTTTGACTTGTTTTGAGCTGTTTACTGACTTTTTCAGTTTCAAATTTTTTTAGCTTTGTTTTCTATGATTGTCAATACAATTTTATTTGTTGGGTAAGATAGCTTGAAAATTTAATACAAGGCTCCTAATATATTGTTACGATTACATTTAAAAAATATTAAAAATCGTGTCACCATTTTTTTTTTACAATCATTTAAATTTCAAATTTTGACAAAAGGCGTAAAATCACGAAAATATGCAAATTATTTTGAGTTAGAAATTCTTAAAAAATTTTCTTTTTAAAATGTAATACGAAATTCCTTATAATGTTTTCTACCTTTATAAAAAAAAAAAAAATGTCTCTAAGAAAGTCAAATTAAATTGTTATAAGCGTTTGAAGTTTAAATATTTGCAACATTACCTATTCACTACCTAATTTCCTTATCTTGTATATTTAATATCTATTAATCTCACTATTTTCACTTTTTCTTTCTATCTATTAAATTATTTTGTTATAATGTTTGATTTAAAACTGTTACTGGGCTTTGCCCGTTTGAATTAATAAAATTAAAATAAAATAAAACATTGGATATTCACTCGATTTCTCAATAGTGGTGATTTTCTTATTTTGTTGTTATCCAAAATGCGGAAAATTCATACAAATGTTATACCTATTCATTGCGTTAAATTGAGGTAACATCCGCATGACGCGTGTTATCTTCATCTTACAAACGTACAACATAGTTAATTTTCGTTCAGCTGGACCAATTTTGTTTTGTCATCTTTAAGATTAGAGTGAGTTGTAACTTATTATACAAATTAGGTAAGAACATTAGCTGTGTTGGTTTTATACGATATTTTTTATTTTTAAGCTAATTATAAATAGGTATTTTAAATTGTAATATACTACATATAGGTAACAGCTCATAAGTCATAATACTTACTTTTTTTTTAAAAGTTTTTTTAAATGCTTATCGATAAGATAATATCGTAAAATATGTGCTCAATTATAAATGATTGATAAATACCAACTACTGTTTAAATATTTGAATTTTTTATTACACAATCATGTTTAAGTTCACGCGTTTTCACTCAATCTATCGTCTGTAAGTTGTATAGCCAATCTTATTATATGAGCTATGCACTCTTTCAGCGGACCCCTCAGTAAATACTCTGCGCGTAGTAGATATATTTTAAACATATGGGTACTTACACGTGGTCGGGCTTAGGGAGCTGGACATTATACTTGGACACTTTGTCGAACAACTGATCGTGGTCGCGCTTTAGTTGCTCCCACTCAACCACCTTTCCTTGTTCACAGATCTGCGCTCGGATCTTACAAAACAGCGGTTCAATGTCGTACAGTTCCTTCATGTTGTCTGTGGTCAGCTTGTTGACGGTGCCTTCGATACGAACCTGCCTGGTCTGGGGCAAGTTATCTGATGTTTGGTCTAACCACAAAAACAGCATGGAAGCCTGAGGATTTTCCGCCTGTGCACACAATTACACATATATTATAACTTAAATATGCATTCAATATTTAAACCAATTAAATCTATTGACTTCAAAATAAAGTAGGTATTTAAAATGTAACATGTTGAAATCGATATTATTACATAATGTAATAGTATCCTTATATACCTATTATTTGTATAATGCATAGGTACCTATAAATATTAATATTTTATGTATCTAAAAGAATACGCGACTTTTTTATGAACCTTGATTCTGACGACACTATATGGAACTTATACAGTTATGAAGTTATTCCAAGTACCCTCCCGTGTATTTCCCCCCATTTTTTGGCCAGTGTAGGTCACGCATTGTATTTTGATTTTCTACTTTTCCGTCGAAACTTTTGAATAATTTCACGATTTATTTCACAAAGTACCAAATATTCCGCCTTCAAATGTCGTATAGCATCGCCCAGTACTCCCATTTTCGGCCAGGAGAAGGTTCTATGAGCTAACCTGAATTATTCAGTAAGCATTTTAATATATTATATTAAATGTCTGTTATAAAGGACGCTGGTCGTTTCACGTTTGGGTGAAAGTAATAATTTTTAAAAAAACATTATTAGTATGTTAGGGCGAGTGAAATTATTTTTACATGCGTAAGACAAAAACCTGGTGACTTTGATGTGTATGTTTTTCAAAATAAGGTTCATTAATTATTCCTATTATGTATATCGACATATGATTTTGTTTTATTAATTGAAAAATTATTATTAATATTGACTGCACAATATTACTGTAAAAATATATTTTTAAAGTTAAGAGTTCATTTATTATGTATTTTATTTTTCAATTGACAATGTACATTGTACACTGCTATACAATATTACAATATATAAATTAATTTTCCTATAAACATATAGGTATTCATACTTATTCAGTTATTCGCCCAAACTGTATTTTTTGTGGAATAAACACTCTCCCTTTCGGTGTATATCACTATTCGCCCAAACAGTCTACGTCCGTTATAAATGTATAATGTATCATAAGGCACAAACGACGAATACAAGTAATAATAATATATATATGTATAGGTACTAAGTACTTAACCTCCCATACAGGCATACAGAATTTGTGAAATGAAAATATTATGTAAATATTTTAAAGTACCTACTTAAATAATGAATATTTGACTCATAATATTTTATAAATATTTTCTTCTCATTATATGATTGCATACAAATGTTGACTAAATATTTTTATTATGTTTCCTTAAAAATATTTTTTGAAAAAATATATTATGATTAAAATGTTTTGTAAATGTTTTTTATGCAATATTTTAAAAAATATGAACGTCTTGGCCAAATAATATAACTAAAATATTTCCTAATTATTTACCTAACTTCTTAAAATATTTTGACTACTATATTATTAAATATTTTTATGCTGTGTGGGCCCAACCAATAGTTATTTGAAGATAAGAAAATTATATTGTTAGTAAATAGGTACCTAGTTAACTATATTATCCATATAGGTAACTTTTCAAATGGTTAGTATCATTTTGACATTGCTTTAGTTTTAATCATTTTTTAATATCTACCCAAATAGCGCAGTTTTAATTTAAATTATGCTAAGCAAGTGTTCGTGTATATTGGAAACTGAGTTTTCGTTTTTTATTTAATACTTTTATTTTCATACATGAAAAAAGATGTTCACGCGATTCTTTACTACCAAAAATCAAAACCATTAATCGTGGGCGTTAATGCCTTATATAAAGGGACCGTGGGCCATAGGTCGAAGCCTCTTAACCTAACCAATAGATAAATTATAATAGGTTATTTTATTATTGGTAATTATTTTGATAGTTAAAAACAAGTACGATATAATCAAATAATAATATACGCTAACGCTTTAAAAATGATAAATTTCAATCAGTAAGAAGTCACCATTGATAAATTATTATAATATTATACAATAATATGAGATATTTAATATTTATACTAAGTATCCATTTACCTATATGTAACTTTTATTATATAACATTATATAGTATATTATATTGATATTATTAACTATTGGAATGTAGGTAAGTTATAAAGTTATTTAATTTTTCTTACTGATCAAATTTGATCCTTTATTGTAACAAACTGAAAATAAGTTACATTTTCATTTCAAACTCCCATTCTAGCTAAATTTAGTATTTTAAATGTTTTGGTGAATATTGTAAACCATACCTGTTTTACTTACTACTTACATTATGTTTAACGTGATTTTTAGAAAGATTTTGAAATATATCGTCATTATATTATATAATATGGTACATTCCCAGGCAGCAATTTTTTGTTTAATAATATTATTATAACATTATAATCACGAATACTATTAGTATAATATAACGTTATTACTTATTATAATACTATTTGTAATATTATTGTTACAAAATGTTGTCTCAGTTGGTACCTATAGGCTATAGCTATGTCTTGCCATTACATATTATAAATTGTAATAAGTGTTAAATTACTAAATAGTACTAATTAAATGTATTATTATAACAAAACAGTTAAACTATAAATATTAGGTATACCTATCGGCTATCACTTATACAGTTATAGGTACCTACTATACGTTTGTCCGACACAATTATTTCAAACGTTCATTATTTTTATTTTAGTTAAGATCCATCACATAAATCTTATTCTTATATTTTCTTATAATATTATAACTTAGATGGTTTTTTTTGATATGTTAATACAACTACGTGTTAGGTGTAGGTATATTTTAATATTATTATAGGTTTGGTGTTAAATTACCAAATCCTTTGATTTTCTACTTCTTCCATCAGTCATCATCACAAATCCGTCTTCATCCAAGCGTCGTAATATTAAACTACGACAAGATACCTTTCCAGTGCTGAAACCCAAGACGAAAATAAATTATTATTGACCATTGTTCATTATAAGACTAATTAATATATTTATAACAGCTAACCAGAATTTATTTTCAATCTTGATTAAAATTTTAAACTGAATTAACTAAAACTTATGTATTTTATTAGGTACGTTATGAAAATTTAGAATTACCTAGGTACATCAAAGACCGTAAATTAATTATTATTTATCAAGCATAAAATATGCATAATATAGTATTATATTATATTAGTATTAGACGTTTAGCTCGTGGATCCTTATTAATAAGTTTTAGAATTTAGATAAGTAGGTAGCAGATACTATAGGTATATTACAATTCTCTCTGTATGACTGTACACAACAGATCTGTAGGTAGGTACTACACAATCATCAAAGTCTTCAAACAAAGTTTATTATATATTCTTAACTCTCACAAGACGCCCAACTTGTAGTTAGTAACACGAGGTTATAGTCTGTAATAATGTATAACAGTGTAAGTACGTTTTACATTATTACGAATTAGGTAAAGTTGAAAAAAGAAATGAAGCTGGTTAACATAATATGGACACTTACGTAATATATTTGTAATAAAAACATGTAGATAGGTACTTATCTATCGCCCGTGGTTATGAGAAAATATTTGTAGGTAGGTATACCTATATAATAATTAGGTATAATTTATGATATTGTTACATATTTTGACTGAGTGATTTAAAGACTATTTAATAATATGTATAGTATGCTATTCATTATTATGACTCATTTCTATTCAATTTTCATTTACACTCATTACACAACTGATAAAATTATAACTTTATTATTAAGTATCTAATTATTTTATTAAAACTAATTTGTTTTGCTTTAGTTTTTGCAATAGTTTTTAAATATAAATTCCTTTTTGTTTTTAATATTATTATTATTATTATTTTCCATTGGTATTTTTGAAAGATTCTAACCAAAACAGATATACCTATAAATATTTAATATTTAAATTTTAAAATGCCTTAACTTAATTTTTAAAAATCGTACAACTGGGTAACACGTTGGTGTACATTAGGTATCTAGAGGAAATGAGAAATCACTGAAATGAATGTGTTAAATTTGAATTCAATGATATAAAATAATTGTATACGAAAAACAATTCTGTCAGCCAATAATAATAATATTACTAAGTATATTTTATGATATTATTGTGACTAAAGTAATTTATTTTACTATTAGAAATTAGTACCGGCCTACTGGCTACTACAGTAGATTAAATTAATTTTTGGCTAAAAAATTGAGTAAAAATGTTTTAAAATGTCATTGAGTATATAAAATATAATAATGTATATTCTAAAAATGTCGAGTACACAGGAATAATATCATTGAGTACCTATATTTTGTATAATATTGTCAATGATAATTGTTTTAAATACAAAAAAACTAAAATAGTTATTCATCATTTAAATATCTAATTTCATAAAAATTTTAACTTAAAATGTCTATAAAATAACTGTAATTATATATTTGTCTATATTTTTTGGTTACAGTATGAACTACTAGCTAACATGGAACCTTCTTTTAAATTTTCATACCTTAGATATATCAATTGAACATTTTATACATTTTTAACTACAAAATAATTTGCACATTTTCAATTTGATAAATTTTATCAAAATTTGTACTTAAATGTATGTTTTTTAACTATGTTTTTTCCAAACCAAACTACTTACTCAACACCCGTATTAACCAATATTAACCCGAATAATAGAGGTTTTGAAAACCCGAATATTTGTTTAAGCTTTTTATTTGAACACCCGAATACACCCAGCACCCGAAACCCGAAACCCGAATAAATTATTCGGGTGCTAAGCCCTGCCTATAAGTCAAAACATTTTCCCGTTTGTTATTAATTTTTTTTTTTTGTTTTTTTGCAGGAGCTTTTGAAAACTATTGGGAATTTTATATCACTTTCTACCAGAAAATACTGAAGTTGAAAATCGAAGCATTCTTTCTACTACTTATCATGACACAAAAATTGGATGTTGGGTCTTTACTCCACTTAGTGAAAATAAAAGTCCTAAATCATCACATTCTTATACCACAATATAATATTATTCTATGGCATCTAAGCGGAGAATGATAAAAATTACGTTTGTTGACATTATCCAAACCTTTTCGATCGTTGATGATAGTTTTCTCTTGTTTTTATAAATAAACTGAATCCACAAAAAATTACTTATAGTACGGTTGTTTTGAATTTTATGAAAAAAATAAATTTATTTTCCAACCATATATATTATAACTGTGACTCAGTCAATTTTTTTTAATGATAATCAGATATAATAGACGAATAAAAATAAATTTTGAAAAATCCATATCAGAAAAAATGTAGGGATCACTATTCCAAAAAACAAATTGTCTTGCAAGAGGTTATTCTTTGACTATAGGGTGATACAGTAAAATATGAATCTATGAATTTTTGTAAAATGACTAAAATTCATATGATTGCAAAGTAGATATTGAACATAAGGTAAATTTAATTTCCCAGTGCTACTGTGCTCATTTGTTTTGTAAATTAGCCAATTTCTAAAATTAACATTTTTAATTTTAGGTCCTACTGGAACAAACTTAACAAATCATATTTAAATCCATTTATTATAAGATCAAAACCAAAAACATGTACATTAACTGCTAACGTTAAATTTTAGGTTATGTTTACTTCATGTCATAGGCTGCGTTAGATGGTATAGTTGTTATAGTTATGTTTATGCCTTTTGGCAATTGTTTCGGTTTTTATTAAATACAAATAGTAATGCATGCAAATTAATGATATACATATATAATTATTACATCAATATGACAATAAACTATTTATTTTTAATTCACCAATAATAGTTATGCTACATATTATGAAAGTATGAAAAGATATTTTTAAGAAATTTGTTCATAAAACAACAGTAATAACACCGCCCTGTGCCATACTATCTATCACACTATTACAGTAGGTATTTAATAATAATTCTTTACTCTGTACTAAAATATTATAGATAAGTGTTACCACAGTAATTAATATTAAAGCTGTTGGATAGGTTTACTTATAGTTACAAAACTCCAGCGACCTAAGTTACAGTCATGTTTTAATACAGATTATATAGGTAATATATTCTGTTTTTTAAATCTGTATACTCTTAGACTACCTATACTGAATATAATGTTTTTAAATTGGTATGTTATGGCATCTTACTTAGAAACGGTGGCCAAGCTAAATGCTTTAGCAGAAGTCATGGATGCATTAGCTGCCATGTGTTCGCTGTACCATTTACTAAAAATGTCAATAGGATTTTTCGAAGATGCATTTATTTTATGCAGACCACTATGTTCATGAAAAGATTCGACCTGTGAACAAATATTTAAAATAATATAATGTTGAATGAATCATTGAGTGTAATATATACTGTACATTTATACAATATATTATACCCAATGGTTGTACCTACATACGTATTTATCATATTACGTTTAACAATACATATTATTATTATTATTATTAATACTGCAGGTACCTACTATGAAACAAAGTTGGCTTCCTTATTTACTATAGAGTTGTAGGTATATTATTTATTTTATTTTATTACATTATTCTAGAGTATGTATCATTTATTCATTTGTGTCTTTTATGATACATTTGAAACCAGATTCTTCATATTAAATGTATATTTTTAATCCACTTAGGTCATAGACTTTAAAATAGATTAAATAGTGAAATAATTGTACCTGCATAGTTTATGAATTCTTAAATCCCGACAATTGTTGAATTGTATATCTAGCCAGTTTAATTTTTAATTTTACAGTTAAAATAGTTTTAGAGTAATATATCTTATAAGCTAAAATCGGTACAAGTTTTTTTTATTTGTGTAACATAATAATTAGAAGGTATATTTAGCTACCTATGGAGGTGTAAACTGAAACAGAGTTTAAATGGTATTATTTAGGATACAATTTTAAAATGGCATATTAATCAATACAGGTAGGTACTAAAAATTATATTTTTCACGATCAAACAATATTATTAAGTATTTGAATTTTATAGACTACAATAAATGTAAGGCCGTAAGGGTACCAATATTTAATACAAATTTTACAATTTTTTTAAGTGGGTAACAGTGTACATCACAAAAATACATCACAATATATATATTATATATATTACAATTTCAACACATCAGTCGTTAATAATCATGATTATTAACATTTATATAAACAAATGTTAAAAAGAAAAAATTCAAAACGCATTATTTTAAATAAAATAAGTTGTCTGTTTTGAATGCTTCGTTTTAATGAATCATCGACGATCGTCCACTAAAACTATTGAGAATATACGAAAAATAAAATCAGTTGTCAAGGAAAAAAAATATTATTAATGAAGATGAATATTTTACTGGTACGTACCTAATATTTATAGTGATTACTGATTACTGAATATAGACGAGATCCATATTTAGTAAAATATTCATTAAAGATCGTGACAGAAAGTTTTTACATTCATAATAGCTCTATGATGTATTCATTCTTTTTTTCTTTAACCATTTATTTACATTTAAATAGTTAGCTATATTAATATGTTATATATTATAATACCTATGTATAATAATGATAAGTTATTAGCTTATAATATATATTTGTCGATACATTACTTAGTATTATATTCAAATTATATTCCAGGTATGCTACTGTCATAAATGTATTTAAAAATGAATGCCTATACCTATAGGCTATATTAATAATAATCATAATGCATTCATGCTTGTTATATAATACGTAGTATTATAAATTTATAAACAATTTACAATACGTCAATATTTATGTCGAGGTTTTATATATAAATATAAAATAAATAATAATACAAGGCAAGATAAAAGTTTATAGTGCATAATATAATATAGATAATGTTGAGTGTATGTTAAAAAAACCACTTAATAATACCTACTTATTAGTTATTTATAGGCAGGTAGGTATACATATACAGGTTGTAATAGTTTTCCTTGTTTTATTATTGATGTTTTATTATAGTGTATTGTATAAAGACTTTTGAGGATAAACATATCAAAAATATTTTTAAAGAAACGCGTTTTTCCTTTTAATTGAATTAAGAAATTGATAATGTAAGGCTTTTTACTGTAGGTACATTAAGCTTAATACTTTAACCTAATTTATATTTGGCCCTTTAGGTACTATAACTTCATTGTTTGACTTTTAATATTCCCAACAACAGTCTACCAAAAAATATCGATCGAGGTCTACGCCCATACTTAAATAAGTCTAACTGCCTTACTGACCCAATTTATGAATTATGGCGATCGACAATAATATTTAATCAGACAGTATATCGTTTGATATATACTATTTTTAACATTTAACAACAAGTGTTTACCAATGGGTGTATATTATTTTGTCCGATTTCAGCTTGCATGCTTAAATCTTGTTCACAGTTTGCCAATACATTTTTTAAATCACGTTTTTCCAGCATGATCACATCAATGACACGACATAAGAAGAAATCACCGGTTTTTTTATTTACGTATATTAAACAATATGATATTATTTTTACCGAAATAACAAAAAGACAAAAATTATATATTTTATAACTATGATTTAAAGACAACAATTTACCGATGAACTGTTTAATTATGAGTAAAACATTTAAATATAGGTACCTTATTATACCTACTAATATAGTAATAATAATATGAACTATAAACTGAAAAATACAACCGAGCGGTTGGGTAGAAGACCAGCGATATACCATGACACGTATCTATACCTACTACATTCTATATTGAACGTGCAAGTGTCTTACGGATGAAAACATATTAACCAGCAGCTATACCTATGGTATCATACTATCATACATAATATAATGTAACATTATATCATTTGAAGCTATACTTATAAATTATAATTAACCATATACAGTAGGTACCTTAGTATAAAGGTATAATAAAATATTTTATGTGATTATGTAAATACTTAACCATACGTCATAATAATTAATATACACATATATGTTTTTAACGTAAAAGTATATACTGATATAAGTAGATATATTATATATACTCGTAAGTGGGTACATGCATAATGCATATATAGAAATAATCTTTGATGCATTTAAAATCGAAACATGGACAAGCTACATTAATAGACGACATATTTGAACAGTAATACATACTGAAAACATCACTGTTTCTTTGCTGTTTTTTCAAAAACTTCTTAGGATTTCCTAAAGCTGCCGTATATGTTTAAACTGTTTAAAGTATAGGTAAGTACTACCTAGGTACCTACTTAATAGTCGAAAAAAATATTGTATTCCGACGTCTAGTTCATTAGCGCAGGGGGCCTTGAACTAGAAATTAAAAACCAACAGAAATTTGGGAAGACCTAAATATTATGAGAATTGATAAAAGCCACGAAATACTTTAGAATATTGAGAATGGATGATAAAGAAGATACGGACAAATAGAGTGATGCGTGTGACCGTGATGCAATGATAGCCATTATCACAGTGGACCGCTTAGAATCCGAAATAAGCAGAAGTCAGTAATAACTTATTTCCAATAGATATATTCAATTGAATTTTAATTTGTATATAATATAGAACTGTACGTCTGTACTAATTATAGTGGATACGATATACAAGGGACTGTATTACTGTAATCTATCTAATTTAAACAATGTTTGGTATAAGATGGTAGGTATATAGTTATTATTTATTACAAAAATATACCTACCTACCTATATCTCACGCAAAAAATATCGAAACAAATTTTTTTATGTGTTTGAAAACAATAAAAGTGTTTGATCATTCAAAAAAGTGAGTTATTATATTTACTAGGTATCTACTATTTAATATATAGTTAATAATACATAAATAATAACTAAAACTAAATATTTAAATCAAATATCACGAACAAAATACAATTCAATAGCATTAAATCAGGTACAAGCTATTTTCTTTTAACTACAAAATATAATATTTATAGGCATGTTATGCACGAGACCTCACAAAACTTGCTATTATATAATGAATGATGACAGATAAAATAAATTATTAACAGTTTACCTACTGTAATTACCTAAATAGGTACATTTTTATTTATTGTGTATAATACGTTTTGTCAATGGTAATTTTGTTTTTAATAACTATAGAAAAATATGTACCTAATGTACTAATGTATGTAGTAACTACTTTTATAGTAGTTGTATATTATATGCCATTAAATTATCTTTATATTTAAATATATAAGTACTTAAGAACCTTATAAAAACAACCACTTGAAGTTATTCTGTCAACATATTATAATATTCAATGTTCCATATTTTATCAGTTTGATATCTTACTTCGGCTTGTCGTAACGAAGAAAGGCTTCGGGTGTTGAGCGTTGAATTTGATGTGGCCAAACGGCCGACGAAAGAAGGCAATGACTTCACATTCAACTAGAAGCATAAAAAATCTTCTTGAAAAAGTATTTAAGTAATGACATACATTTTGCAACATCTCATTAGTCATTAGTCATTAATAAATAATTATTAACGCAGACCTGATTAATAATAATATAGCCATGTTACCTAGTTTATAGCTTACCATAGTGCTGAAATATTTTTTTCTTGTATACAATCAGAGTATTGGTAGTCTTTAAAAATTGTATTTATTTGAAGGCTTTATGGAAGTTAGAACGTCGAGACAAGCCTTTATCGTCACTACGATGGATACTCGAATGCGGTGGTATATAACTGTAATGAGCACCTGGTAAAATATCTAATCAATATACTTATGTATCTAATTGAATTAAAAAATCTAGTTCAATATTCCAAATAAAAATATGTGCGACACGGTAGATTGTATTCCTGTACACCACCACAGTTTGTTTGGCTTCTCCAGTAAAAAATATAAATTATTATGTAATTTATTCCATGTTACGTTAGAAGGCTATTGTTTTTTTACTTCTTTAAAGCCTATATAATCGCGAATGTCGAAATCGGTATGTCATGCATTAAGATCAACCGTAAATATGATACCTATATTATATGTAACCTACCTACATAATGCGTACACACCCGCGCGTCTATTATTTCCGCAACTCAACAATTTTTTTTAAATTCATGCATTGATAAAAGTTAAATCTAAATTTTATATATTAAACAATTTCGATTTATTATATAACTGTTATTACTTATTAAGTTCAAAATGATTGTGCTGTATTTTATAATATTAATTTATTAATAATCATCTAGACAATTTGCTATGTTTATGACAATATGACGCAGGCCCGGCTCAAGGGGTAGGCGACATAGGCCCACGCCTAGGGCGGCACATAAGCAGCACTTTAGTAAGAGGGCGGCATTTTCAAAATACTGATAATATTATATTATCAGGGGCGGCAAAATTTGATTTCGCCTAGTTCACTATTTTCGCTTGAGCCGGTCCTGATTATGACGTATCATGTGCAGTGTTTTGCACAGATAACTTTACAATTATTTAGATAAGATAACAGATAATTGAATAAAAAATGTATCTATATAAAAGATAAGGTAACCTCCTTTTTATCTAGATAAAAAACAGATAATTATACAGTTTTTAGGTTTTTTAAGTCTTAGAAATTAAATTATAATGTAAACTTACAGCGTATAAACACATATTTATAATTTTTTAGTTCATATTATTTTATATAAAAATACAATATAGGTTAAATGAATACATTTGGATAAAAAAAAAAACGTTTAACTCATACTGTAGGTACATTTTAAACTATTTGGTCACTTAATTTTATTGTTGACAAAAATTGATTCATTGCAAAAAAATATAATAATTAATAATCATTGAAGATGATTAAATCTAAAAAAATGACAATTCATTTTGTTTGGTTTTAAACATAGGTATCTACTAACATTCAAAATTATGACGCAGTTCGGATGAGTTCCCTGTGAACTAATAATTGTGGCATAATGGGTTGTTTTGAATTTCAAATAAGTATGAAAAGCAGAGCTTGTATTTGAAAAATTCCGTTTTATGTTTTTTACAATATTAAAACGTTACACAATTTTTGCGTTTATTGTTATTTAGAATTAAAACGTTATACAAGTGTTGCGTTTATCGTTATTTAAAATAACGTTATTACCTATTAAATTTAAAAATAATAACTAAGGCGGGTAGGTAATGGCACGGATACGGAATATAATATAATCAATTCTTATTTCTTAGATTCTTAGATTGTTTGCATGAAATAAATGTTTCTACGAAACAAATAGACCTTTAAAATAAATACATTTTAAAATATTTCGTTTTGCGTTATTTTTCGTTTAATGATGTATAATATATTATTTTGTTGATCGTTATGTTTTGTACTTCGGTATTTAATAATTATTTATTATCGATTTCCGTATAATAACGTTTACAAATTTCAATCGTTTTTTGTCAAATATAACGTTATTATAAGGTTTACAAGCCCTGATTAAAAGTTATAGAAAAACAGGAAAAATCAAGTGAAAATAATAAAAATATTATCTGATTATCTGCCGTTTTATTTATCTAGATAAGATAAAAAGATAATGCACAACCCTGCATATGTGCTATACATGTATAACACAATATTATGGCCCAAACGAACATCTTTCTGCAATATTATTAATAATTAATATATACATATAGCAGATAAGTACTCTACGGCCCACTTAAATGTATTATGATAGGTACCTACCTATAATTAAATGATACATGTATACAAATATATTATAACTACTATATTATATTGGCTCATTATTGTAGTAATATTGAAGGTAATTTATTATTGTGTATTTCAGTATTTGTGTGTGAACATATCATACATTTTCAGTAAAAATAATTAAAATAAAACTGTTAATATACCTAATAATAATAATATATAGACACTATAGTGTTGTTTGAGGAGAAGTACTGGCACCATAGTTCCTCCTCCAGTCCTTCGATACCACAATAAAAAAAAAAAAAAAAAAAAGACACTATAGTGTTGTACATAATATATTTTATTTTTATTACTAAGAAGTAATAAATAATAATAATAATAATAATAATAATAATAATATAGTCCATTCTAAATCATGTTTTAAGCCCTAGTGACTAATACCTGATACTTATACCGTATAGACTTCAGACACAATTGCATAGCGAATAATTAAACTTATATATGTACAGAAACGAAAACATTGAGATTCAAAAAATAAGTATTCATTGCATTTTACGATGTTCAAATAATAAAGTATGAAACACGTGGGTTAGTCATCTATATTAATTAAGTAACCCATTTCTTAATGCCTACCTACCAATATAAATTATAATATGTAGATACTATTATAGCCTAAAGGTATATGTAATTATCCATTAATTCCCGATAAGCTTCGTGTAGGTATTATCTATACGCATAGGTAGATGGCATGTCAAATACGTGTTTTTTAGATTTACCAAGTGCAAAACTAGAATTAAAATATTAACTGTAATTACATGTTTTAATTTCATGGGAATTTATTACGATTTTTGTTCATTAAACGAAAATAATAATAATAAAAATATTGTTCATGTCCTATATCTATATAAACCACTGCTATTACGCTAGTTCACCTATGTGGCTATGTCTTATTAGTTATTATATTATGTAGATAGATGTATCTATATCCATTAAAATTAAAAACAATAATACCTAGGTACTAAACTACTATCTAACTATTCTAACTTATTAAAGTACCTACAGTACATTGTGGTTTGCAAATAGTCTGCAATATAGTATAGGTACAATATTGATGAACGATGCATGCAAATATGCAATAATAATTTATTATTATGACGCTAATATATTGAGCTCAGATCGCATTACGATGAATTTTATTTTCTGTATATATAAAATAGATATTTTTAATTATTAAAAAGTAGTAATATTTAATTTTTAATTCCATAATGAATATATAAGTAGGTAAGTATAATAATTAGTAGCCCAGTAAGAAATTTAAATAACGTAAGTATACTAGTACCTACCTAAGTAGTAAGTTATTTAAATGAACTTCGATGAATATTATACTTTTGTTATGGATCGATGGTTTTTAAATAACAAATTCATCGATCTCAGATTTGATTATATGTGAATATGAATTTGCAATAATGGTCATTGGTACTTATTATAATAAATTACCCAACAGTTTGAAGACACTTAACTTATAACTTGTAGTAATCATTAAAAAATGAAGAATGATGTATAGGTTGGTATAGCCGTATAGAGGTACTTATAATTTCAGGAGCCGGAGAATATATTATACTACTATAGTACTATGTCTGCAATCAATCTAAACAATCTATAAGAACACTCGTAGAAATCAGGGGCGGATTTAAAGGGAAATTTTGGTAGTAGCTATAATTTGTTAAAAACTTTTAAAATTTTTAAAACTCGTAGGTCCAAAAACTAGTTTTGATTAATATTTGTCTTATTACATACTCGGATTATACGGCCATTGCCATTGGTCAGTCTAGACCTGGTACTTATTGGTATAAATATACATATAAAGGGGAAATTAAATTGGAATAAACGAGTTGAAAATCGATACCTAGTCTTTTACAAGCAGATACCGTGTAGCAGCTATCCCAGTGTTTCTCAGCCTAGGGGTAGCGACACCTACGGGGGTCGCCAACTTATTATTTAGGGTCGCAATCGAATGATTTAATTCATATGAGTATGTAAAAAATATATATGTAGGGGTCGCTAAAAAATAGAAATTTAAAAAGGGGGTCGTCACAGTAAAAAGGTTGAGAAACACTGAGCTAACCTACGGATACAATGTAAAGAAGACGTCTCGTGCCGTCATGGCACAAGTTGTTTTGTTTGTCTATAAACTTACTTTAGCTTGGCGAAAATGAGGGGCCTAATGCATTTTTGGGTGTGCCATGGATTGTGGTTATAAATTATAATATTATACTGGCGGAAAATCAATAGAATTTTTTAACCTCAAATATCTAAATATCTACGTTTCGTATCTATAATAATACCTATACCTAATTATTGGTGGTACATTAACAATGGTCATATTATTACTTGAAATTATAATATGTTGGTTATTTTTATATTACGATTCACTGATGAGAATTGGATAACATTATAGGGGAGAGGATTGTAAAATAATTAATTATACCTAGGTACCTAAAAAAAATGCTCACGCTTATTTTCTTTCAAAAACATTGATACAATTGGTATATTGCATAACCTAACTGGTATAACATACTTAAAGTGTTTGGTTTAATAGGTGCCTAATATAGGAAATAGTCAATATAGACCTATATAATAGTACCCATACTCCATAGTATATATAGGTACAGACTACAGAGTGATTCACCAAGCTCATCTCCATTTTTTCCTTTCAAAATAATTTATCTATACAAATTCTAATTTTTGAAATTTTTAAGTATATACTTACTTACATTTTAAATTATTTAGATTAACCTAATCAAATTTGTAAACAATTTAAGAAGTCTCTAATAATTCATATAGCTGTATAGATAAAAAAAACAAATTTGTTTCAAATATGAGAACCAATACCATTGGAATATTTAGATCAGGGGCTTAATTTGCG